GTTTTGTGTATGCAATCGATAAAGTTAAAAATGAAGAGAACTTAATACAATGTTGGCCTATATTTGTTGAAAAGCCAAATCAAAATATAGAAATTGTATACAGTTGGAAAGGGCTTCTCAAGAGCAATCCAATGATACCCATAAAACACCATATGATAGAGTGAAGTGGTGCTGGGAACAGAAAAAAATATGGAGATTCGAAGGACTTCTTACTGTTAAGGAATGATTATGACATACATATAATACGCTCAAAGAAAATATTACCCATTAACATACATGTATTCACGTAAAACACACGGCCGTGTCCCCAACACAGCCAAACCCCACTTTTTTCATTTCTAAGTATCAAGGAAAATAACTGTTATATATCTTATTTACAAGATTTTTAATATGGTGCTGGATATATGCGATTTTATTGCTATTGCAATTGGGATTTAATAGAGCTTTTAGGACAGACTGAGAATCACTGTAAATGTTGATAGTTTTGTTGGTAGTGAAGTGGCCCACTGAACAGTTTGGTAGTCAGCATCTTTAGCTTTATAGATAGAAGGTACAGACACTTCCCACATACCTCCAACACATTTTGGGCAAAATATGTCAGTTTGGAGGAAGATACAGATACTTGAGCCAACACAAAGGGTGCTTTTGGACCAATCTGTGTAGATATTAATGTCTGCATGGTTATCCATGGAGGAAGCAGATGACACCAAATGTACCCTGGGAAAAACCTTGTTTACATGGTGATGATCACAGATAGTAAGGTAATTGCAATGTGGTAGCATATGAAGAGCTGTAGATAGGAGTAGAGATTGTTGTTGAGCCTTGATGTTTGTAGTTCTGATGTAGTAGTTTTTCCTTTGCCACTATGTATTGTACAAAAGGTTCTAGAGCTCTGCTAGTATCAGAGGCATTAGTAGAAACAGTTCTGCAGCACTTTGAAATTCAGATGGCAAACTGTCTTTAAACAGAGGGTAATTTACTTGCTACTGAATTTTACTAGTTACATGATCCCAGCTAGAGGCCACTTAAAGTAGCATTGGTTGTATTGCCCCATTATATAGAGTTTTACAAGCTTTATGATTTAATCCCCAGGTGCATCTAGCATATTTTAGCAGCATGTAGTTTATTTTATTGACCTTATACAAAATAAAACAAGAGAGAATAGAAACCATATTCCATTGCCATATAACATTTGGATGACGTTTCTGTTTACACGTGCACTAGCTAGTCGATCTGTCAAAGTTTTTTGCGTCCTTTTGTGAAAATTAAAATTAAGCGTCATAATATTCATTTTTATATTGTTAATAATTAAAAAATAAAGTTTTTAACCAAAAAAAATTTTATGAAATCCTAAATGAATTTGAATGAACAATTTATTTTAAAATCTTTCTAAAAAATCATGCCTAAATATTACGTAAGATAGGGAAGGGCAGGGGGATAAAATAAAATATTATGGTTTCTTACACGGGTGGGTGAGGGTCTAGAATGGCCAAAATTGCCCTTATGTAATTTATGGACACCCTTAGATGCAGCACAGATGATTGGATAATGCATGGGTGATCTGCCAAGGTAATATCTGTATCTACTGTATATTCTAATTTATCTTATTTTTTTACCTAATTAAACATAATTAGATAAAAAAAGTTATTTTTAATGATAAAATTTATATAATAAAATAGTCTCTTAATGTAAAGCAAACATGCTTTACACAGAGTTTATATATAAAGTTTTTTAAAAATCTTTATTCATTTACTTTACACAGTAAAATTAATTTGATCAATTAGTTTTCTTTCTCTTCAACAAGTTATCTATTACATCTATGGCACTTTTCAAAATTGTATTTGCTGCTTTTTGGAACATTTCTGTCCCTTCTTTCATTAAATTATGCCTTTGAGGTCAGACAGATCTGGAATTTTTGACAGTGTTCATGTTCCTTACAAGGCTTCTTCACCTCACTTTCTTTCCTTACATTGTTTGTGTAAATTATGGCTGAATGCAGAATCTTTCTTGTTATTGAAACCTCTTCCAGACTTCCATTCAGTCTGTCCAAGAAGGACGAAGTGGGTATCAATCAATGAATGCTTTCTACACTGAGACTTTTTCTGTCCAGGCAAAGTATCCTTTTGCTAAACCCTCTTTAACTCTTTCTTACAGGATAGATGTTGAAATATATTTTAACCAGTTTGCTGAGGATTTCATATTTTGCTGTATCTGTTTGATTCTTTATGTTGAGCACTTTAATCCAATATTGGTCAGTTCACCTACAGAACAATGGCACATGCTCTTTAACCTTCAGTTGTCAGACTTCAATGTCTGAGACATCACAAGATTAACACATCTCATCTAGTAAAGAATGTTCCGATGCAAATGATACCAGAATCTTAGTTATGGGAGATAGTAAACAATCAGTATTTCTTCGGCATGATTTCTTTGACATTCTCCATTCATTAACTAACCATTCAAAACATTTTACTTACAAGGAGATAAATCTGGCATCAGGAAGCTGTACTGGGAAGCTGTTACATTATAATGTACAGCTTTCCAGTGACCATTCATTTTTTACTGATTACTCGTGATCTTCAAGGAAGTGCATCTGTCTGTTTTTCAGTGGCAAAGTAATTCAGACAAAGCTGTAATATAGATTTTTTTTTTTTCACACAATGTTTAAACATAAAAGAAATTCCAGTTTCTTTCATGCATCATGACCAATGTCAATGATCTTCATGTCTGCCATACAATTTAACACCTTAGCAATCAGCAATTGCTTAATGTTTAAGGAACCTCTAATTAAAGTGAGAATTAGTAATGGCATTTCATCACATGGAATATAAGGGAAGCTTTCCCTTTATTAACTATATGCTATTTTACAAATAGTGATTAGTCTATACACTTCAATTTATCATACTAGTTACTTTTTACATACACTGTTTCATTTCAATTGTACAAAATAACACTATTCTCTATTGATATTTTACCTGTCCTAGATGATGATAGATATGTGTAATTAGTAAATGTACTAAAAGTATTGATGAAAACATTGCTATAACATGATATTGAACTAGTCCAGCAGGAACAATTAAATGATGTAATTAGTAAAAAATATTTATTTTTTTACTAATTACATCAGGAATAGAATACTTGACTTGAGTTTAATGAAAACTCAAGAATAAAATATTTGATTATTAGTGTTAATAGGAGAGTTTAACAAATAACAATGAGAATTTTATAGCAGATGACATTAAGCTAATACTAAGTGCACTATAGCTGCTGAACTGATATATTGCAGAAAAACTGCATTATTTTAGTGTGTAGTATAATCTATAGTTCAACAGTAAAGTGATGACTCTCAGTGAGGCAAAAATATACAAACCTTACAAATCTGAGTATAAAAATGACAGTTTTATTGCTTTGCTAATATTAAGTGTTCATTTTTTCAAATGCTTTATAGTGCTGAAATTTGAAAGTTTTATTCCATGATCAGCTAGGTTAAGCAACAAACCAATTTGTTATAACAATTTAAACTTTTGTGACTAAACAACATAGTTATGATCTTAAAAATGTGCAAGACACCTCTGCAAGATGTTGCAGAAATAAATCATAAGGACAGTATCAAGTACAATGAAAACTGAAAATCAAATAAACAAGAAAGGAACAAGATGATCTGCCAAGAGGACATACCTCTTGGCAGATATCCCTCATGTCACATTGCTGTAAGCCAAAACAATAATAATAAATATCGAAAACTGGCAATTGATCTTGTCTAAAGATACAATTCTTATAACAATTAAAGAAAATAAAAACATGCTATACTTTCCATTTAGCATATGCAATATCTGAAACCTAAACACAAGGCAGCTAGATTAAATTTCTGTCAAGAAAACTGGACTATTTTGATCTTAGTTCATTTTTATAGTTTTCTCGAGTGAGATCTAATTGCAAATTCTGGCTCAATTTTTTTCTTTCAGAATAGTCATAATTGTGTTACATACTGGATTAATTTGTAACCATCATGTTATTTAAAGGAGTATAAATATTATCAAAATTAAAAAGATATTAATGACAACTATATTACATTATAATGTTTTTGAGGTCTTATCAATATAAATTTCTAATTCATTAAATTTTCTCCTAAATACATGATATTCAGAAAGAACTCTGGGAGATTCAAAAAGTCAAATTATGCTTTTCCACGCCATTAATGAACTACCATCAAATCAGCTGCTGAATTAAGTCTACTTTTTACAAAACTCCTAGAAACATATCTCCTGTTGGAAGATGTTGGATGATAATTGAATTTTTCAAAAACAAATGCCAACTGATATTTCAAACTTGTCAAAATAATAGTTTCTTCACCAACTTAAAGCCCAAAGTGATTTTTTTTTCATATACTTTTGTTGAATTACTTAGACTCAACAAAGTTTTCAGCTGTAGGTTAGATATTTTTTCAAGTTTCATTAAGTACACTTTCTATGCTAAATAATTATTTTAATAATTTTTAGTGGTCTTATGCTGCCATCTTCTATTAAATTTAATAAATATGTGTAGTCACATATGTATGAAATTAATTAGCCAAGTTCTAACCTGATAATCTGGCTTTATTGTCTATGTTTCAAGAAGCTAATTTTAAATATAATCATCTACAAGTTAATTTATGATAAACAACATTTATTTTTATTCTTTTTAAATTAGGAAATGATCATTCATAATACTCTTATTTAAATTTCATTTATAGTAATACTAATTAAAACGGAACATGAGCATGTTAAAGTGTTTAATTTAATCTTCAATAATTAATAGTTTAACATGAAATTATTCAGATGGAAAATGTCTTCTGATAGAATTTTACTAAATGTTCCTTTAACTGTACTTAATAATTAAGCACAAAGGAATGTTTTTAAGCAGATGCCTTATATATAATATAAATTTTCTTGTATTTTATATACAGCAATTTGTTGTCCGTGTGTTAAGAATATGATGTTTCTAGAAAATAATATATTTAAAAAATTTCATTACCTTTTATTTTCTGTGGTTAAGTTATGGTTGGAATTTATCTGTTATATTTTAGACAACTGTTTAACCACGGTAACGATTTGGATTCAAATGAGAATCAACTTTGAAAAATCTCAAGATAAACATAATGTAAATTAAAGTTTTGGATCATTTCCCGAGCGATTCCTTGAGTTCTTTTAGCAGCATGGAACCGATAATCATCTTCTCACAATTCACGGTGATGTTAGCCTTTCCGTCATTTAAGACTTGAACGGTAATTAAAACCGGAGAATGAGAAACTAGAGTTTGGGCGGCAAATCTGTACACTCCACTCTGTTCTTCTTTCTCGTAGACTTCTTTGACATTTGCCGTCTCGTAAATGGTGTTGATGATAGACTTGGGATCATTCTTGTCTGACAGAACGGTGACACAACCAGTATTTTCATTCATTCCTTTCAGTTTATCTAAAAACAAAATCAATAATTACATCACTGATACTAAATAATATGAGAAAATAATATGCTAACTTACTCTGTTGTGTAAGGAAATCTGCCTTGCTAATTTCAACTGGCTGAAGTGTTTCACCAATTGGAGCTTTAATAGAGAGATTATGACTTCTTTTCTTTGATTTTAATTCAAACCAGGCAGGCTGAGTTGTCTCATTATAATCAATTCCAATAGTTATAGTTAACATGCTTCCCACAGGTAAAGAACCTAAATGTGTACATTGTTCATAACTTTTATAATAACTAAAGTAGGTTAAAATATTTTTAATCATCAATTCCATTTAAATTTACCTATTTCTGTAACTCCTTTCACTTCAACATTGCTTGATTTCTATAGAAAAATATAGTTAAGCATAATTAACACACACAAAACTCACAAAGCTGAAATAACAGTCAATAACATAAAGAGAGACCTGACCTCGGTAGTGTTTTGGCCCCATTTGAGGACTTTTATCAGATAATAAATTAAATTCTGTATTATGTGTTTGTTCAATTTGATAAAATGGCTGTACTACCTGACAAAGGCACCTAAGTGGGGCCAAAAATGAAACTGTATTGTCTGTTAAGCCAGTATAATGAGTTTCACAGAAAACAATTTTTATTTAATATACAGGTATATTAAATATTAAATAAAAATTGTTTTCTGTGAAACTCTGTATTGTCTGTTAAGCCAGTATAATAAGTCCTGATAATAGTGAATGCATGTTTATAGATGAAAATTTATAATTTACATTCATAAGACTTCATTTATTGTAATCAGAATTTCAGGTAATTACAGTCTAGGCCTCAACCTTGGCCTGACCCAATTTGTTGTGTTAGATAGGGGAAAATTCATACAGCACAAGGCCTTCACAACACCAGAACACAATGATCATTTTTTTTTGGCAGTTGACGAATCAGAAATTTCATGTCATAGAAATATCCTTTCTAACTCTGGAATGAACTTATGTTTTATTTCACATATTGATGCTTTCCGTTAAAGGTTCTCCTTCATTTTGGTAATGACAGAGATAGTGAAGCAGCCATTCTCTTGCATGAATGATGCTCTTTGCAACATCTGTCATTTCAGCAATTTGACTATGACACAATTTTCATTAGTGTGCATTCAGTGCACCACATACTTCTTTTCTGCTTAAAATACCTATGTTTTGGCCATAATTTAATGTACAGGTGTTGATTTTATATGTCCTGCAAGATTATTTGTAGCTACTACTATCTCTGCCACATGCATTCCAAGTTTAAAGTTGGAGTGATATTCATCATAGATTAGAAAAAAAATTATCTTCAAAATATAACATTTAATGTTTGACTATCATTGTAACATAATCTTAACACTATCAATAAATATACACATCAATCAAAACCCAATATCTTAAGCAAATACACCTACAACTGCCATAAATGATCAGGCTAAATTTTGGATATATGATTATAGATTAGAAATAAATTTGGCACCAGAGTGCGGTGTTAGGTGCTATCTCTTATTAAATTAATATAATATTAAAATTAAATTATTTGATTAAACTGAAAGAAAAGAATCAACCTGAAGCGGGACTCGAACCAACAAATCCCAGTTACACTACCCGGACCTTCGGTCCGATCTTCTAGCATATAAGTTAAGATATAACCATCAACAAGGGTGCGATTATGTCCCCAGTCGGCACCATAATAACTGTCGATGGTTATACCTTAACTTATGTTAGAAAATTGGACTGAAGGTCTGGATAACATAACTGGCAATGCATCCACACGATAAGTGGGACTTGCTGGTTTGAGTCCCGCTTCAGGCCAATTTCTTTTCTTCCAGTTTAATTTAATTTTAATAATTATTAGATTAATTAATTAAATATTAAATAAAAATTGTTTTCTGTGAAACTCTGTATTGTCTGTTAAGCCAGTATAATAAGTCCTGATAATAGTGAATGCATGTTTATAGATGAAAATTTATAATTTACATTCATAAGACTTCATTTATTGTAATCAGAATTTCAGGTAATTACAGTCTAGGCCTCAACCTTGGCCTGACCCAATTTGTTGTGTTAGATAGGGGAAAATTCATACAGCACAAGGCCTTCACAACACCAGAACACAATGATCATTTTTTTTTGGCAGTTGACGAATCAGAAATTTCATGTCATAGAAATATCCTTTCTAACTCTGGAATGAACTTATGTTTTATTNCTCTACAAAAATTCAACGCGCGATAGGTTAATATATTTTTTCGTACATAATCGGTTATCCGACGCTCTACTGTATATCTGAAATTTAGCCTGATCATTTACGGCAGTTGTATAACACTATCAATATTTTTAAAAATTAAAAACTTACTTTATCCGATATGTATAAATCTTTAATTTCTTCTGCACTCTCATTTGTTAGTGTCAATTCTACAGATATCATTTTAGACGAATAGATATTTGGACTCCTAGTAAATCTGTAAGTGACAATTAAACCACTTCCATTATAGCGGTTCAACAATTCGTGTTTCTGAACAGGTACAAATGGTGGAATCATAATCTGAAACATATTCGGAAATAAAAATAAGAATGCATACAAATTTGTTAAAATAAAATATTTTTCATACTTACTGGCGTAAATATGGGTTTTTCCAGTGGTTTATCTAAAATAGTGATGGCAGAAGGTGTAAGTACAGTCATTGCTGATGGTTGCATTACTGGAACTGTGGAAGCTGGGATATTGACTATATGTATATAAAACCAGATAATGTTGCTAAACACTGAACTAATAGTTATTTTATTAAAAAAATTAAGCTTAAACAATCTTTACAATAATTCATTGCCATTACATGTCCTGATATTTGTTAAAAGAAATTATCAGGGCTGTGGAGTCAAAGTTGAGAGGAATCGGAGTCAATGCATTTTTTCTGACTCCAACTCTGGCATTTTAAATTTACTTAAATTTTCTTTCATTTAAATAAAAAAACTAATTATATATTTACAAAAATATTTTTAAAAATTAATATTTTGTTATAATTCATTTATTTTAAATACAAAATGCATCAATTTAATTTATTAAATATGTGGTATTCGTAATTATAATTGCCTTACAGTCCTTACTTCTAATTTATTTTTAATTGTCTACTTGGACATTACTCATTAATAAGATTTTACACAACAATGAAAGTTAGAGTTCAGGAAAAACTCACTGTTGTGTCAATTTTTAAACACCAGTGTAAAATCTTATTAATGAGTAATGTCCAAGTAGACAATTAAAAATAAATGTAGTATTCGTGTTTAGTAGTTAAATTATCTTAACCCAATTGAATTTGAATATTTTTGAATCATTCCTTTATTATCCCTGCTCTAAATAAGTACTCTATTTTTCTGAATGAGCCAGACTAATTGCTCAGAGTATATATTTTTCTTTTCTGAACAAGGGGGGCTGAAGTAGCTAGCTAGATCGCATACTTTTTAGTTGGACTAACTTTTCTGGAAGGGTGAAATTGAAGTGCAAATGCTGTTGAATATATGTAGAAGTAGAATTTTATTGCCCCCTTTCTCCTCTCATTAAGTATTTGTTAAAAATTAATTATTTTTATACAAATAAATATTAAAAATACTAACTATAAAAGTATTTAGGTAAATGCTCCAGGCTTCTTTCAGAATTCAGAATAGGGTACCCCTTTGAGCGCCCATGCCCCCCACAAAATGACTTGATTTTTAATTCTGCAGAGTCAGCAGTTGGAGTCGACCTACTAAAATTATCAGGAATCTGAGTTAAGTGTTTTTTACCGACTCCACAGCCCTGGTTTTCATGATATGTTTAACATTCATGTCCAAGTTCTTTTAGTAAATAATTTATTGCTATCATACATAAAATATTCTAAAATAAGCAAATCAACATGTGAGATTCTACTGGCCCATTAAATTAATTTTTCTAACTTTGTATTAAATAATAAATGAAAACTTTCCAACAAAAAGGGAAACACTGTGTCACACTTCCAACACAAGGAAAGTTGAATTTCCTTTCCCATACCCCTTATCTCAAAATTTTAGGCAAAACACTGGATGTTTGCCCCTCTGAACATCCCCACACATCCTGTTGACATGTGGTAAATCCTTTCTAATTGGATGAAGATGTTACAATATGACGGATCATTTCCTCTGATTGGGGAGTTTGTCGAAGAATTTCAAAGGAAGAACAACAACTCCAGGAGTTCAACAGACCCCCCCCCAAAAGAAGATGGACGACTCCAAAGATTCTCCAAAGCCAGCACCATACGAGCATTCTATCTGACTGTGATCGCCAGATTCCCGAGAAAATAGTCTCTCCCGTCCTAAACAAGATTCTCTAGGAATGAACAGAAGACCCTCAAAATAAGACGAGGTAGTATACCTGATATAGGAATTTACGTAAACTCTCTCTCTCGCGAGTTAGGTTTAATTCAATTATTTTGTAATCTTGTTTTTGATTAAATATTTTTGTTTTTCTTTTAAAATGGCTTTATCTTTGTCTCAAATCTGAGCCTACATCCACTCCACATTCCTCTCGGAAGAGTACTAGCATGCCTAACGTAATAACTAGGCTGGTGTCAGGAAAAACAACTTGCAGTGGTTTCTCACAAACTTCTATTCTTTATTTTAAGTCTTAGGAAGCCATCCTTAGACTCTGTGGGCCAGTCCAACCGATTGCACTGCCGTATAAGTAGCAGAGAGGCTTACCCAGACTCTCTACCCATGGCTAGCCTCTCACAAACACTTTTATTATAGTACCAAGTTTGCATAAACATCAGATTAATACCACAAATATTTCAATACACAGTAATTTTATCATTATCTTATATTCTTGCATATGATGTATATAAGTCAAAATATGCATGCATCTGTATACTGTATACATGTTATGTTAAATAGTATAAAACTGTTTATTTATCTGTACAAAATTTGGCATAGATATTCTTCAACATCCTAAAAAAAATACCTTGCCCAAAGCTGAACCTCTCTTAAGCCCAAGCAAGTGTTTACAATAATGAAACTGCAATGTACATGTTAGTTACTAAGACCATTATTTTATCACCCTCATCCATTCCCTACCCACTTAAAGCCCGACATCAGGCACACACAGCTATTCTTCAACTCCTTAAAAGAAATAAAAATACTGTACAAAGTACAACCAGCCCTTATTTACCTAAAGCCTACTCCTCAAAAGCCCAAGCAATCATGTACAACATCTCAGTATATTGTATATATGAAACTTTTGCTGTGACATTGAAACAAAGGTGAGAACCCAGGAACACTGAATTTTAATTTGCCTAAAAGAGCAAATTTCAATAGAGAAGTTAGTTTATAAAAATTCATTAATTTCCTTCAGAGATGATACATCATCTTGAGATCATGACTGATCCAGGGAAAATATGTTTAAAATATTAATTAGATTGGATAATTTTTAGGAATCACACTGAGATGCCCAAATTTTGTTAGATACTAATGCATCTGATGAAAGGAAAGATATAAAAGGAGACAATGTCTAAAGCAAGGTTCACTCTCTCAGTCATCTGAAAGGGTTCTTGGAGAGTTTCCACATTCCTCAATATTTCCTGTTCTCATCTCTTGTATACCAGAGGATTGTACAGTGCTTTCTTTTTGTCAAGGATTACTTTCAAGGAGTTAGTGTGTTTATTGGTGTAAATGTTCAAGATCTCCTATGATGACTATCAAGGACTATGTTCATTTGGATCCAGGTAAATATCACCTTGTACTGTTGATTGTAAACTCCCCTTTTCAATCTAGAGAAATTAGGCACAATCTTAGTGAGCAACTATCAATAGGTCTGTTTCTTGTGTAATCATATAAATAAATCTTTTTGTTAAATGTGATTATCTAGTACCATAATGAATGATTCAATTCTGTGAAGCCTCTCAAAGTCGTCCTCCATTTGCTTACCCTGAATCCCCATACAGCATGCTTGTAAGGTTGGTAACTTTACAAGCATGAACTTAAAGTAAAAAATGTTTCTTGTGAACTGATATTCACAAGTGGTGTCAGAATCTTCTGATGTTATTTCATATATAAATAATGAAAATAAAATTACTTATATTTAGCAATCCTGACGTGGCTGAGGTAGATCATCTCTTACATCTCACAAAATAATTTTTCAAAAATGATGATGTAACTCTAACTCTAATTTACTTCCCTTATATAAATGAACACAAATCAAATGCTAGAAAATTTATTTCAGAAGATTGTAACATTTTTACTGCTTAAACGAAATATGCCTAAACTAAGACAATATACAATTTCTGTGATTACTCAGGATATATTTCTTCATAATTGAAGGTCAGACTATTTACAAAATTGTATCAATATGCAAATTAAGTAAGGATAACTCGTAACTACCACCAGATGGCCTGAAGCTGTTAAAAAATGGATAAGGACAATGTGGTGAGAAAAATTCTTCATGTTTTTAATGTAAAGTGTCAGAACCTATAACAGAAGGCTGACACTTGATCGTTTTTAACATTGTGAACTTTTTTTACTTGTTTATCTTTGTTTTAAGAAGTATATTCTTCAAAAAACCCATGTTAACTGTTACTTCTGGAGTGTATTAAAAAGGATTAAGATAAACTCGAAAATTTGATATTTTTGTAAATAGTCTGACCTTCAATTATAAGACAATATATTCTTTAAAAATTCATCTTGAAATATGAAAATAACCCAGAATAACAGATATGACAGCAAATATGCACAATCTGTTGTTCTAGGTCAGGGGTCACAATTAGCGGCTTGCGAGCCGCATGCGGCTTTTCAGACATAAACTCATAAGTTATAAGGCTGTGGTGAAATGAGGTAAGGTAAAATTGGAGTTTATGAGATAGAGCCACTGAACAAACTTCGACTCGTACACCGTCCACACATGACCACACTCACGTTGATCAATATGAGTCACATAAGAAAGAAAGAAATGCTACCACTCTTATCTTGTTAATGTGGAGAGTGGTAGCATTTGAAGCATATCTATATATATAACACATTGAACGCGTGTCCGTCCATCCGTGTAATGTTATGCCAAAAATGGCCACTAGAGGCTCCCCTGTCGTGTGTCGTATTTCGCACATTTAAGTTAATATGCGGCTCTCTGGTACTTTTGTTATCCTGTTTTCATGACAATTTGGCTCTTCTCACTTGACAAACTGCCGACCCCTGTTCTTGGATGTTAAATAGTATAAAACTGTTCATTTATCTGTACAAAATTTGGCATAGATATTCTTCAACATCCTAAAAAAAATACATTGCCCAAAGCTGAACCTCTCTTAAGCCCAAGCAAGTGTTTACAATAATGAAACTGCAATGTACATGTTAGTTACTAAGACCATTATTTTATCACCCTCATCCAAACCAACCTTACCAATTCCCTACCCACTTAAAGCCCGACATCAGGCACACACAGCTATTCTTCAACTCCTTAAAAGAAATAAAAATACTGTACAAAGTACAACCAGCCCTTATTTACCTAAAGCCTACTCCTCAAAAGCCCAAGCAATCATGTACAACATCTCAGTATATTGTATATATGAAACTTTTGCTGTGACATTGAAACAAAGGTGAGAACCCAGGAACACTGAATTTTAATTTGCCTAAAAGAGCAAATTTCAATAGAGAAGTTAGTTTATAAAAATTCATTAATTTCCTTCAGAGATGATACATCATCTTGAGATCATGACTGATCCAGGGAAAATATGTTTAAAATATTAATTAGATTGGATAATTTTTAGGAATCACACTGAGATGCCCAAATTTTGTTAGATACTAATGCATCTGATGAAAGGAAAGATATAAAAGGAGACAATGTCTAAAGCAAGGTTCACTCTCTCAGTCATCTGAAAGGGTTCTTGGAGAGTTTCCACATTCCTCAATATTTCCTGTTCTCATCTCTTGTATACCAGAGGATTGTACAGTGCTTTCTTTTTGTCAAGGATTACTTTCAAGGAGTTAGTGTGTTTATTGGTGTAAATGTTCAAGATCTCCTATGATGACTATCAAGGACTATGTTCATTTGGATCCAGGTAAATATCACCTTGTACTGTTGATTGTAAACTCCCCTTTTCAATCTAGAGAAATTAGGCACAATCTTAGTGAGCAACTATCAATAGGTCTGTTTCTTGTGTAATCATATAAATAAATCTTTTTGTTAAATGTGATTATCTAGTACCATAATGAATGATTCAATTCTGTGAAGCCTCTCAAAGTCGTCCTCCATTTGCTTACCCTGAATCCCCATACAGCATGCTTGTAAGGTTGGTAACTTTACAAGCATGAACTTAAAGTAAAAAATGTTTCTTGTGAACTGATATTCACAAGTGGTGTCAGAATCTTCTGATGTTATTTCATATATAAATAATGAAAATAAAATTACTTATATTTAGCAATCCTGACGTGGCTGAGGTAGATCATCTCTTACATCTCACAAAATAATTTTTCAAAAATGATGATGTAACTCTAACTCTAATTTACTTCCCTTATATAAATGAACACAAATCAAATGCTAGAAAATTTATTTCAGAAGATTGTAACATTTTTACTGCTTAAACGAAATATGCCTAAACTAAGACAATATACAATTTCTGTGATTACTCAGGATATATTTCTTCATAATTGAAGGTCAGACTATTTACAAAATTGTATCAATATCAAAAATTGTATCAATATGCAAATTAAGTAAGGATAACTCGTAACTACCACCAGAGGGCCTGAAGCTGTTAAAAAATGGATAAGGACAATGTGGTGAGAAAAATTCTTCATGTTTTTAATGTAAAGTGTCAGAACCTATAACAGAAGGCTGACACTTGATCGTTTTTAACATTGTGAACTTTTTTTACTTGTTTATCTTTGTTTTAAGAAGTATATTCTTCAAAAAACCCATGTTAACTGTTACTTCTGGAGTGTATTAAAAAGGATTAAGATAAACTCGAAAATTTGATATTTTTGTAAATAGTCTGACCTTCAATTATAAGACAATATATTCTTTAAAAATTCATCTTGAAATATGAAAATAACCCAGAATAACAGATATGACAGCAAATATGCACAATCTGTTGTTCTAGGTCAGGGGTCACAATTAGCGGCTTGCGAGCCGCATGCGGCTTTTCAGACATAAACTCATAAGTTATAAGGCTGTGGTGAAATGAGGTAAGGTAAAATTGGAGTTTATGAGATAGAGCCACTGAACAAACTTCGACTCGTACACCGTCCACACATGACCACACTCACGTTGATCAATATGAGTCACATAAGAAAGAAAGAAATGCTACCACTCTTATCTTGTTAATGTGGAGAGTGGTAGCATTTGAAGCATATCTATATATATAACACATTGAACGCGTGTCCGTCCATCCGTGTAATGTTATGCCAAAAATGGCCACTAGAGGCTCCCCTGTCGTGTGTCGTATTTCGCACATTTAAGTTAATATGCGGCTCTCTGGTACTTTTGTTATCCTGTTTTCATGACAATTTGGCTCTTCTCACTTGACAAACTGCCGACCCCTGTTCTTGGTCAAAGCTATGTATAATATTATTGTATTTAGAAGAAATGTAGTCTGTATGTAAAATCTGATTTAAAAAAAAAATAATCTTAATTNTCTGGTACTTTTGTTATCCTGTTTTCATGACAATTTGGCTCTTCTCACTTGACAAACTGACGACCCCTGTTCTTGGTCAAAGCTATGTATAATATTATTGTATTTAGAAGAAATGTAGTCTGTATGTAAAATCTGATTTAAAAAAAAAATAATCTTAAAAAATGAACAGTCTGTTGCTTGAATACATGATGGTCCATAAATTGTCTCATATTGCTGAACGAAATTTCAAGTTTCATTACATGTTAGCCTATACAGTATTACTAATTATGAGTTTAATCAGTGATCTATACTTGCAGCAATGTTTATGTATCAATTTTAGCTTTAATTTGGAAAAAATTGGTGCAGAAACTGTTGAAACGATCAAGAAAGCTTTTGAAGAGAATTCATTCAAAAGCAGTCAACTGAAGATAATCCAAGATAAGGAAGAAATTGTCACCTTGGACAAACTGCAGCACAGTAGTAGAGACTAATGTTTCTTATGTTTGTCAAAAATGGCTTGACAGACTGGTATACAAGTGAGTTGCCACAAAATTTATTCCTTAAATCCTAAGCCAAGAACAGAAACACTTGGAATTTGAACATGTTAAAGATGATAAAACATGCGTTTCAGTTTTCAGAAATTTATTCTCATCTATAATAGAAATGTAAATAGAAAAAGTTGAATGACGGCATTCAAATGTGAAAGTTCTGCTTATTGTGTTTTCCAATTGTGTGAATTAGTGCATTGTGAATGTGTGTCATTTACAACAAATGCCAATGCTGAGTTGTATTGTGTTTTCAATGACTGCAATACTACGTTCGCACACAATCCACGACTCACTTCGATCTCGATTTACCTACAATCTGGATTGTGACTGTCGCTAGTTGAACATCATGCTGTTCACACAGGCAGTCCGCTCGAGAAGAACCTGGCTATTACACACGATCATAAAACTGACGTAACTATGCGGTAAGTCACAAACACCAACAAACAAAATGGAAGTTTCAGTTAGAAATAAATACTTTTTCTTGCCGTACATCTAATAATAGACAGATGTCGTCGTCTCTCCAGCTGTCTTTTTTATTTCTCTGTCGATAGCCCGACACGTGTTCTGCAGCCATCTTGTATTTTCTCATGCGCGTGGGATTGTGTGATCTCTCTTATGACTAGATCTAGTTTCGAGAACTCTCTCCAGTCGATTGCGATTGAACCTCGTTTCAATCGAGATTGAAACGGTTGAGAGCATTCGCACCACGGAACACTCTCCGACCTTAGTCACAATCTAGATCGAAATGCTCGGTGCAAACAGGGTATAAGAAAAAGTTCAATAAAAAATACTTGATTTGTAGAAAAAGACTTAGCATATCAATGAAAGACTGCATACAGCCATGCCAGCAAAGAAATTTTTGACATTAACTTTTTACCTCTCATTTCACACACCTCAAGCAAGCATTAAAAAATGATGTTTTGAGAATAAATTACAAGAAAATTGTGAGACAAACTTAGGTCCACTTTACAATCTGCATGTGTGGGAGATTTTCAGAAGTGGTTTGCCATAGAAGAGTCATATTTTGAGGGCAATAATGTTTACCACCCATGTATTTTTTAATCAAATGTTTGATTACATTAATTCACAAAAGAAATTTAAGTTATAAAACAAATAATTTAAATAATTATTATATTACTTACAATCATCAAGATCCAATAACAATAAATCTTTACTTGGTTTCTTATCTGATTGCTGTTTCTTTTCTGAACTTTTCTTTTTATTCCAAGCCTGTCATTAAAATAAATACCAAATTAAATAATTTTTTATGACTTGCTCAAACACACAAATATAATAAACTTTATATATCAAAAACCTTTTCTTCTTCTTCATCTTCCTCCTCTTCGTCCTCATCATCATCATCTTCACTAGAAGTTGATTCTTCAGCCTCACTGCTGCTACTCTCCTCTGCTCCTTCACTTTCTTCCTCTTTACTACTCCCAGGTCTCACTTTATCCCTTGAAAATTTAACTCGAAAGCCACTTCCAGATTCACTTTCTTCTTCTTCACTACTATTTCTTTCAGATTCTTCCTCTTCACTTTCAGATTGAGATTCGCTGTCTTCTTCACTGGAGCCTGACACTTTATCTTCACTCTCTTCTGCTTCAGATTCAGAACTTGCGGATCCTTCGGCAGCTAATTGCAAAAATTTAACATTTTAGAAAACTAGCACATTCAGTTTCTACAAGATTTTAGCTTCAGAGAAAATAATTTGAATTTATATTTGAGGCATTTCCTTTAATATGTAATATTAAAATGTTAATAGTAACTAAGAATCAGAACAAATGGAAACACTGCTGTAAAAATCTAATTTTTGCACAGTGTAGTATTAACTAGCTAAATGTTAAAATTATGCTAACTTCATGAAATATTCTTTTCTATAGAAATTTGTATAATATACTGAAATCTGAAGATACTTCATGAAGTGGTGTTAAATAAACAGAAAGCATAAACTACTATAGTTCCTGTCACAAATTCTTTGAATAAGATTAAAAACATTTTATGTAGTCTTTACCAGACATTAAAGAGTTGCTAGGACAAGTCTTTAATGTCATTTCTATTAAAACATTTCGAAATAAAAGCTGAATGTACACAGAAATTTGTTCGATTTGACATTATTTTCTATTATAAAAATTTTAGAACATTTGATTGAATGACAAATTTTTAAAAATCTGTTAGAGTTTGAAACAGTAAACTAAGTACCACTCTTTATCAATGAAGTTTTAATATGTAATAAGAAAACAAAGCTTTAGAATTTAATGTCATCTACTATGTGCAAATACTTGTTAAAAACACTCAATAAACGATAAAAGTATTTTAATTTCATTCATTTGGCAAAATTAATAGCTGTGGTTAGATGAATTTTGAATAATACCTATTGGGTCTGGAAAGTTCATAGCAATTTTTGAGAGAAAATATTATGTTTTATTTCTTGTCAGTAATGTATGCACCATGACCTAGCTTTTATGTAACAACAGGGATGTGGTTTTGATCCTAGAAAGGTCGGGAGTATATTCTATTTCATTGGAAAACCCAATGTCTGGGGCACACACCCACTGTTATCATCTATTTGACAGCTTCACAATTCCATCTTAAAAGATCTTTCCTTGTGTCTACACAAAAAAACTGCTCCAAATGATTTTTGCAAGCTTCTAGATTTTCAAAGTTCTTACCACAATGGGAATTCTGCATGGACTAAAATAGGCAATAATCTAATGCTGCAAGGTTAAATGAAGTCAAACATCCCAGCCACATTCCAATAACTTTTGTCATGTTTTCAAAGAAACTTGTGGTCTAGCATTGTTGTGAAATCCTGGACTGTTATTTATAAATTTCAATATTTGAATTAAATTAAAAAGTTAAACAAAGCTAAATATTTTGGAAGTCAACAGGGAATTTTATCTCTTGATAATGCCTACTTTTGAGATGACACATCATTCATTGAGTTCAACAAGGAAAATCAGGGATTGGATAATCATCTCACTTTTTATCCAACTTTACTAAATTTGCAAAAAGGGCAATAAAAGGGAAAGGTGAAAGGAAGTCAAAGAGTTCAAGTCTGACAAGTGAGTCAAGTTAGAGATCCAGTTCATTCGCCCACCACCCTGCCACAGGTCACCAGCTCACCCAAAGCTGTGTCTGTATATTGCCAGAACTGTCAAAGGTATCTTATGCAAGAATTATCCAAGAACTTCTTTCAAGTGCACTCCATCTCCAAGAAGAATTCACTGATCAGGGAACTAAGTAGAAGGTATTTATCCACGTGTGAACCATTTGTAAACTCTCTCAGAAGTAGGTGCAAATAGGTTAACTGAAATATGATGAGAGTTCTGAGCTCTCTCTCTTAATCATTTCTTATGTCATTATTTCATAATAAATGCCATTATGGTAGTATAATTATGTTGCAATATTATGGTGTAGTGTGAGTGTGAGTGCCCTCTGGAGAATGGCCTGAATCAGAAATGATAGTATAAAAATCTCTACTAGTAGTAGTTTTGCTGTTTGTAATGTATAGTAATAATCACTTATGTTTAAATAAATCTTCATTGTTTTATTGTTAACTTCATAGTAGAGTGAATCGCTTCCAGGTATCATGTTTCTCTTATCCCTCCTCCGTTGGCCTTACCCCCAAATACTCTCTGTGCAACTGATGGGGCATGCATGCGTTCAAAAATTCCTGCAAGCCAAAATTCATAGGCGACATCAAAGATCCTAACCAGGGGGCACTGCAGCTGCACACCATTCACATTGTCATGGGAAACACGATGCCATTACCATTGACCAATTCTGGATATTTTTCAGTTATTGCTTTCTTCAGTCAGTCCACTTGAGAACAGTACCTAACAGAATTGATTGATTGGTTTTGTGAAAAAAGCTCATGCAATTCCCTTCCACTCCCACCAGACAGAGTACAAATGTCTTTGGACAAAGCTTGGTCTTTGGGGTGGTTAATGGTAGTTTAGTTTGATTGCAACATGATGATTAATGTTGGCCCACTTTTTATCATCTGCTATCATGTTTCAGAAATGGGTCATTTTTAGTATGTTTAAGACATAAATCACAGAGATTTGATCCACTAGGTGTTCTTTTCAGTCAAATCATGCATCCAATCATCACAGCAATTCATATAACCAGGTTTCTTAAAAATGGTCAAATGTACTTTTTGACAAGTTTACAATTTCTGCTATTTCCATGTTTTGTAATGAGGGTTATTTTCAATGAAAGTTTTAATCTGGTTATCTTCAATAGCACTAGTTCCTTCCAAATGTGAAGCATCTTCCAGGATAAAAATGGCCTGGTCTGAATTTAGAAAACCATTTCTGAACTGTTGCTTCAGTTACAACTTTGCCATAAACAATGTATCAGCAATGTATATTTACTTTGTTGTTGGGATTACTGATTATATTTCAATTAAATAATTCCTGAAAATTCCATATTCCTGCACCTACAAGTATACAGAAACTTTACTGGTAATTCAATGATCCAAAACATAGTATTTAATTACATTTATTTTGGTTGATTACATACATTAATAGATGTATTTCAGACTGACTTACATTTTACAGCTCCTCATCAATAATTAAAATGATTAAGTGCTAGGTATAAGTACAAAATTAATTAAAAAATTAAAAAATAATAATAATAAACATAATGGTAATATCTTTCTTTGTATTAAATCAATCATCTCTTTAAATATAAAAGGACACAATAACAACTGATTATTAAGATACCCTAATGTATCAATGTTAAGTTTATTTTGTGTTATATTTATTTGCCTAAACTAACTGTTAGTGTTTAAAAGTAAACTTCATCCTGCAAACACAGGATTACAGAATTTTCAAGAATTATTTAATTAACACATCTCATTGTCTGCACTGCATTTTTGCTTTTTCAGAAAAATAAAAAAGTATCAGTTTGCTTCCATTTTAACAAAGACACAGATTGAACATAAGTTTAAGTCTGTTACAAAATGGTTTGTTCAGATTTTTATTTCAATGTCACATTTCATTATGTGTGCAGGTAACTCACCAGAAGATGTCAAAACTATTAAAAATGTATGTTTATGCAATTTTTAATAGATGGTAATTGAACTTTCTGGACAATCCAATATTATTTTGAATGTTCATTCTTTTCAATTACATTCTTTCAACAGTTTTATTATAATAATAAAATATTTTATAAAAATAAATGATAAAAAAGTCCAAAACAAAGTAAACATTAGTTTCACTGTAACTTATCATCCAACAAATTTAAATATAAAATGTCCATAAAATTATATTATATTTGACTTATTTAGGACATTGAAATTATTAAAGTCATTCTTACCTTCTTCAGAACTTGATGATTCTGTTTCCGAATAAAATGATTTTTTCTTTATTACTGGTTTTTTCTTTTTTCCTATTTTTATATCTTGCCAAGGTGTCGGTAGATCTACATTTCTCAATGAAGGATCAGGTGCCACCTCTGGAAATTTTGGTAAATCACAATAACCGTTTGCTCGGGCATCGATGTAATGAGACAGTGATCCGAGTTGATAAATATCTCGTTCTGTACAAATTGTATACAAAGTTATATTAATTACTTTAAATTTATTCAATTTATAGATGTAAAAAGCTCTTCTTACCTGAAAACTTTGACTGTAAAAGAGGTGCAGGTTTTGATGCCAAGAGTATTTTTTTGGCACATTTTGAGAGATAGGATGGTTTCTCTCCTTGAGGCATTATTAACTGCCTCAGAAATCGTGCTCGATCTCTTATATCGTAATTTTGATCGTACTTTGCCAAATTGAAGACATACTGCGTCAACAGTTTGGTCTGTTTAGCATTTGTCAGATACAGTTTGGAAGCTAAATTAAGAGTTTGTAATTTTACAATATCTTCCTATAAAAAAAAATGTACAAATAAAATTCCATTACTGAGACTAAACTCCAATTCTCAAAATATAATTACATAATTTTATTGAAGAGCTCAAAACAATAATAAAAACAATATAAACTCCTGAGTATTTTCACTTTTGTACCATCATCATCCATAGACAAGAATTACACCCCCCAATTAAAAATATTGTAAGTTAGAACATATAGAAAACAGGTATTACTATGACAATGTATTGTCCTTTGTGTATACAAGGTGAATTTACAAAAATACTATATATAGAAATAAACAATACTCTAAAATACATGGTTTTAAAATCCAATTTAAGATGTTAATTGCATATAAATCTAAAAAAATAATAACGAAAATTAGCAAATATATTTTATATACAGGGTGTCCCAACGAAACGAAACGACAGAGATATCGCGTTCGTCCAAGCAAATAGCTCGGATAGGTCGATTTTATTCTCAAGGGGGACATCTTCTGCAATGAAGTTTTTGCGATTCTGAATACAACAGACAACAAAATTTTTAAAAACTTATTCATTTTTTATTAACTAAACAAACATTTATTTCAAATAAAGTAACACAAACTATTAAAAAAAAAAAAAAAAAACCTTTTAAGCTAGACTTTTAGTCGTTCGACAGACGATGTTGGTCGCCATAGGAACGCTACTCGGACAACATCTGAAGACTCGACCGCTCATTGGTTAAAAGACATCACGCCATCTGCGGACGTCTTGGAGAGCTTTAGCTTAAAAGGTTTTTTTTATGTTTTTTAATAGTTTGTGTTACTTTATTTGAAATAAATGTTTGTTTAGTTAATAAAAAATGAATAAGTTTTTAAAAATTTTGTTGTCTGTTGTATTCAGAATCGCAAAAACTTCATTGCAGAAAATGTCCCCCTTGAGAATAAAATCGACCTGTCCGAGCGATTTGCTTGGACGAACGCGATATCTCTGTCGTTTCGTTTTCGTTGGGACACCCTGTATAGATTTAAAGAGTTGTAAAAGTATTTGTCAAAAAATTAATATATAATTTTATATGATATAATATTTTTGTTTTGTTCATATTATTAATAACACTATTAAAAATAAAATAAAAACAAAATAAAACTGACAGGAAATGTTCTAGATTTATTAGTTAATCTAGAACATTTCCTGCAATACTAGATGGCTTCTATACTTTTCCTAATTTTGTATTATTGTTTTGAGCTTTCCAATAAAGTAGATTCAATGATATTCTATATCATTGAAATTAAAAAATAACATAAAAGTTAACAATGTAAAGTTATTCAAATCTTTAGCAGTGGAAAATATATTATAATTCAACTTATCCCAACAACTCAAATCTTTGCAATTGTCATAAAGACAAAAAATACGAGCACTCATCTCAATGCTTAAAATTATTATTATAACATTTAATCCATAATAATGATAATTTATCATCATCATAACAACAACTCCTCAGTGGACTCTCTATAGTAAACTCTTAAAGAACTGAGCTAAATCATTCTCTTTATGGCTGGTTCATGGTCCACTTTCATTGGCTATTGTAGTTCCACCGAGATACACTGAAGATTGTTGAACAATGTCCTATTTCAGTTCAATAACTTAGTTCAATAGTGTATTTGGCAGTTGTAATTTCATTCCCGCTTCAAATGATTTATAAATCATCTCTGATAGAAGAGTTTGAGGATCTCCACAGTTTAGTGCATGCCTGACATAGTATACATTGGCAAAATGCTCTGTTAGAGCCGCCACAAACTACAGGATGCAGGAGCTAGCATACACTCAGTCGCACTCCCAAGCCTTGCCTTTTTTTCCCCATGAGGCTATGAGCCATTTTTGCTAGGTAAGCTATGCAGGCAAGAAGCAGCCGCAAACTACACAGCATTTGCTCGCGTAACATAATCCACATGACCTGGATTCCACAAATGTGGATTGGCTATAGAGCAAGATTTTATTATAACCTATACATGTAATCAGTCAGTTTTCATTCCGAACTTTGAAACAGCATGGGAAAAACATGTTTACTAGTTAAACCTAACTAGGCTTAACTAGCCAAAAACTATTTATATATTACTATTTACATACAACGTTTCTACTATTTTCTTTTTAATACTGAATGTATTAATCATGTAATTTATGTACATCAATAAAATTCTATTATTTCTTTTTTTGACATGTGACATGTTCATGTAGTCATCCATCTTCCTGCTCTATCTTGCTAGCGTGACTGCTCTAGCTGTTGAATTCTGTGAACAGTGAGCGTACTCTCATATCGCTGCGCTAGCAAAGGAAAAAACACACAGGCAAGAAGAAAGGGGTGGATCCTTTGATGTCATCGGTTGTGCTAGCGCACATTTGCTAGCATTTTGCTCTCGCAAAGCGCTAGTTTGTGGCAGCTCTTAGTTTTTGAAATTGACAAGAGAGAAACTTTTGTTAACATTCTGTGTAAGTTATGAGTAATGGGTAGTCTTGACATTATTCAACTTCGCACAACTAACATCAACCTTGTCCAGAAACTGTGGGTGAAGTTGAATAAAAATCATACATAGCATATATATAATTATATATATGCTATGCATGATTCCTTTTTATAATCACTTTTAAAATTTATAATCATTCATAATTGTAAATATAGATCATTATATGATCTATACTAGCTGTTACCCGCAACTTCGTCCCTGGAGGTTTTGCAAGCAAACCCCATTTACATTCAATATTTCAATAACCATAGTAATTGTCATATAACACCTACCGCTGAAGAGAATTGCCAAGAAGAACGAACTATCTTCAATTTGATCAATTTTCTGGAATGTTTACAATCGTTCTATAATCAAACCAATATGCAATAACAAATTTGAAATTAAAACAGTTCGAACATTTTAAAAATCAAAATAGATAAAAATATTTATAACAATGTCTGAAATGTTATCAATTTAATACACCTAAGTACTCAATGAAGACTAAACATAGTTGAAAACAAAAAATTGCATCTAAAACAGTACAGTAGAAGCCGTTTTTCCGGTTAAGCCTTAATGCTCTACCTCTTCCCCCCGCGGGGAAATTTTGAAAAATCCCTTCTTAGTGTGAATTCCCATGGCGTACCCTACTAAAACGCAGATAAAAACAAAAAAATCGCATCTAAAATAGTACAGTAGAAGCCATTCTTCCGATTAAGCCTTAGTCCTCTCCCTCTCCCCCCGCGGGGGAATTTTGAAAAATCCCTTCTTAGTGTGCGTTTCCATGACGTACCCTAACTGTGTACCAAATTTCACCTCTTTAGGTTAAGCGGTTTGCTCAGGACGATGATGAATCAGTCAGTGAGTCATTCAGTCAGTCAGGACAAGCAATTTTATATATTTAGATTTACAATTGTAAATATAGATCATTATATGATCTATATTTACAATTTAGAATGATTATACATTTATATTTGTAGCTAGCACAGATTAATCACAAACCTCATGTATAAATGATTTGGTTACTTTACGTAACACATCAGGAGCAATTTTTGGCACTCTGTCGGCATACTCTCCCAGTAACCAGAGAATCGAGGCCCGAGCCATAGGAACCGTAATAGAGTCCATCAGCTTTGACATGTGAATAATGATATCTTTATGTTCAGAAGGCTGTCAAAAATATAATTATTTTTTGATTAGAAATCTTGACACCAAAATTTAAAAAAAAAATTATTTTTTTAACTTGCCTGCATCTGTAGTAGTTTTTTAATTACAACAACACTTTCAGCCACGACTGTACCTAAAATTTGTGTAATAAATTTTATTTATTTGTGAAAAATTTTAAGTTTATTAATTAGAAATTATCATGTTTATTTAAAACCTTTATTTTTGAAGCATTATTTCATTAAAATCTACTAATTTTCCACTTACACCTGTTAGAAATGCTGTACTTATGAATATAGTTATTGAATATATATTTAAAAATCATGTTAAGATAATTAATACTTTTATACCCTTTCTTTCTTCTCAGAAGAACCAAATTTATATTAAAAAATCTAAAAATTAATGCTTTCCAGAAGAAAAAAAGAAATCCTGTCTTCAGATATTATTTTGAAAATTCCATACTTACTATTTCATAATATACAGTCAAACTCAGTTATAACGAATACTAGTGGACTGACAAGATTTGCTTGTTAGAACCATTACTCGTTATATCCATGAAAAGGAGTGATGTAACTAGGAAGAGAATGGAAGGCTGCTTTGGGCACAAACATGTAGGGTGTCCCACAGGCAGCAAAATTTTTAGCTATGTCACTGATAATTAGTGAAATTTTTAATTCCAAATAAGTTAATTAAAAAAAAAACATCTAAACATATATATGCTTAGTGTATATATATATATATTATATATACAGTAATTACATTATACTGTATTTTTATTAGTAGTTATATAAACTACAATATAATTAATATTAAACAATTAACTTTAATTATGAAAAAGTAAAAAGTAAATACAGTAGAGCCTCAAAAACTCTGCCTAATGTGGACCAAAGGGTGGCCGAGTTTGTGAAAATGCCGGCTTATCGGGAATGGGGTTAAAAAAAAAGATAAGTATGCGTGTTTCCTCACAAAAATATTGTACTGTACTTGTATGTATTGTTTGCTTGAGAATACAACAGAGAATGAACTGCCCAAATACCCTTAAACAAAGGAAAAGTACGTACTTTATGAAGACATAGAGCCTTTACTAAATGAAAATGAAAATTAATGAATACACTGTGTACAGTAATTTACCTGATAAGACAGACCTCAGAAAAATACTTTATGAAACATAAAGCTGTCTATAATGAAAATTAATTAACTAAGGATTTTTTTGCCCTGCTAGGGTGTGGCAGAGTTATCCAGAGTGCCGGGTTATCGAGTGCCGAGTTTTCGAGGCTCTACTGTACTAATTAATAATGCCTGATTTCAGTTAGTCTTTTTATCTACAAATTTTAAAACTGACGATTGCTTTATTTTTCCATAATTTTGATAACGTCGATGACGACAAAGAAAACTTACACACACTTTGATGTTTTTAGCATTGTTCTAACTCGCAAATAATTTCTACTTTTTCCTAAACCGAGGAAAAGTTTCTTTTCTTTATAGACATCTTTCTCATAAAAGGGTTTGTTTCTAATTAAAGTATACAATAATTTTACAATCATAGTGATGTTTAGGTAAACTGGTAGAGTAGGGTCAAAAGCTAGTCAAGAAAGAGGGGGAAGGTTCCCAAAAGTAAAGTTGATAAACATATAGAATGATAAATAGTTTTATGACCTGCATGGATTACAGGTCATAAAACTAAGTAACCGTTTCTAGTTTATCTCTTCCAAGAATTTGGTATTGCATTTCTTACTACTTGAGCAATTAAAAATGTTTGTGTGTTTGTATAGCTACCAAAAATTTGCTCAGTATATATGTGAAGTATGCTCATATATCCATGAGAAAATGTATGGAAATATGTGTAAATAAAAATTGTTATGGTGTTTTGCTCGTTACACCTGTAAACTCATTATATTCATGATTCCTTATACCCAAGTTCAACTGTATATATATTTATTCACATTCACTCTCTAAATAAGCATGCATAACCAAAGATGGCAGTGAGATTTTCCAATTAAAAAATTGATATTCTGAAGGGACTTACAACTTTCCAAAAAGTTAAACACTATTAATTTAATACTTAGGAACTGAAGATAAATTATTTCAAAATATTCTTCTCAATGATAAATATAAAAGTTTATAATATGCAAGTCTATTTACTTGTTAATTACAAAAGAAATAATTATGTTTCTTTTATTAAAAATGACTCTGTATACAATTTTTTACAACAAACTAAAGACAAGAGAAATTAAGCAATAAAAAAATTCATAAATTAGGAATTTTTGATGTCTACTGTATAGCTTGCCCAATAATTGTAATACATGTATCAAAGTTTGTCTGTAGGGTCCTCTCATGACAACAATTCTTCTACCAAATGCATATTTTGAGATTTTTCAGCATAAAAAAATGCACACAAACTTTAGGGTTCGTCTTTTGTATTGATGCACTCAGATTACAGTGCAATTACCCAAAGACCACAGAATTCCCAGAAAATACTATCTTTTTCTTCTGAAGTATTGAGAATTGTAAAATAAAAAAATTTAAAAAACCTGCTTTACATTCCTATACTTGGTCTTCACTGCATATCCTTCCACATTCAGAATTTCTTTATATTCCTGACCTATCCCTCTTAATTTCTAGCATATTATCTGTATGGTATACAATGTTTTTCTACAGTTTCAGACATGTTTTCTTAAATCTTTTCATCAATTTTACCTACAACAGCCCTTACAATGTAGCATGCAGCCAATCACTCAAACATGTTAATGAAAATTTTTACAACATTGTATAATTAAAGTGATGCATCCAACAGTCAAAAATGTTACAGAATATGATGACATGGTCTGATACAAAATTTAGCCTTAGTTTAAAATTTGAAATTTACTGTATACACAGGGTCCATACAGGTAATTCCATCTGANTATTAATGAAAATTTTTACAACATTGTATAATTAAAGTGATGCATCCAACAGTCAAAAATGTTACAGAATATGATGACATGGTCTGATACAAAATTTAGCCTTAGTTTAAAATTTGAAATTTACTGTATACACAGGGTCCATACAGGTAATTCCATCTGATCCCCGATCAATTATGATAGTTTCCTAACCTATTAAGGTCTCTGCATTTCTCATTTCCATTACATAATATTTGGCCAAGGTCTAAGGCAAGAATACACTTTTTTGTTATTAAAGATGACACTAATTAATATGCCCAATTTCAGTTAGTCTTTTTATCTACAAATTTTAAAACTGACGATTGCTTTATTTTTCCATAATTTTGATAACGTCGATGACGACAAAGAAAACTTANAGAGAAGTCTCACTAACCGACCCACTATAAGAGGTATTATAGATTGATGTAAACTCTCTCTCGGTCAACTTAGACTTAAGTAGCTAGATAGATCATATGTTGTACCCCTTTAGATGTATTGTCAAATTAAAATTCTTATGCCCCTTAACATATACAGTGGCTATATGGTTAACTTTAACTCTGGATGAATCCATTTTTGAATTGCCCCTCTTAACAATTGAATTGCCCTCTGTGGAGCATGGACCCCACATTGGGAAACACTGCCTTAAAGAAAGGATAAGATGTAAACAAATGGAGTACTGGTGATTATCACATTCCAAGTTAATGTCTAATGTTTGACTTACCATTTCTGTTGGATAGCAAAGAAACTAAACCATTCAAGCACGTATCCGTGACTTCCTTAATAGAACTGGCACAACGACCGATGGCCTGAATTGTAGCTGCCACAAAATCCATATCTGAACTTGAAACATAAGTCTGAAAAGGTACTTTCCGGTTTAATTATAACATAGAAAGGTGATTATTAAAAGCAGAGATTGTTATTAAATTAAAAAGAGATTTTTTTTTCTTTTTCTATAAAAGAAAAAAATAATAGTTTTAAGTCACTTTTCTCAACATTAATTAAAGATTTTTTAAATAAATAAAGTACATAAACTTACTTGAAATTCTCTCAATATTATAGAAATATTTGTTTCCGTTGAAAGATTAGTTAGAATTTCCAACTGTATTAAATAAAACTTCATATAATCTCAGTTATTATTTACAGTAAAATAAATAAATAACTGTTAATTTTTACTATATTATAAGAAATTTATTAGAATATTTACATGTTTATATGTATATAAATAAAAATACTTCTATAATAAACTATGTAAATGTAAAAAGAATATTAAAATGAAAAATAGATTAATATTAACTATAACAAAACTGTAATCATACCTTAAGTAACTTAATATGAGTTGGATCACTTGGTCTTACAAAGAAACTCTTTAGATAAGGTTCAAACATTCCCTGTTTCATAAACAGATTAAATTTCTACTTAAAAATTGTTTAAATAACACAATCCTAAAATTATTAAAAGTAATTTAACCATTAAGAAAATCATTGGATTACTCTGTATAATTATTTTAATACAATATGACTAAACAGAGTGATCAAATGAAAGTAAAATTCATGAGGAGTTTGGCAACGCTATAAGTCAGACTTGTTGTTGCTGCTGCAAGCTAGCCTACCAGCTGCACTAGCAGCTCACAGCCTGACTCACAACACTGCCAAACTTCACACTACTTATCATAAATTCTGCATTAATTTGATTGCCCAGTATAAAACTATATGCTGAATAATTTGAAAGCAAGTTCAAACTACATATATAAATTCTTGTTAAAATACTGAATTTTTTGCTTAGTTCCAATATACTTTAACTAGTGTTAATAATAATAAAAATTTTAAATATTTTTTAAACAAAATAGTTGTATGCCATATTAATTTTGCTTATTTTCAAATGCAAACATTATTATAGTAAATCCAACTTTTAGGACTTAATTTGTTCATGGAAAACTATTGCTCAAGAAAGTTTCATAAAGCAAGCCTCAAACTTTGTGTCATAAATTAAGATTACGTAATATACCTAGTAGTAGTTTTAACTACAATGTAATGAAAACAAAAATGAGGTTATGTATAGTACTTAGAAGTGTCAATTCCTGTAATCATAATGGAAAATTTACACTAGTTGCAAAATATTTATTTATTAATAAGAATCTATTGTTTATTTGTATATACCAGTGTTTCTCAACAGGGGCGATATCGCCCCATGTGGGTGTTTTTCCATGTTCAGGGGCGATTAGCAACAATTTATATTTTTGGGGGCGAAAAACAATTTTCTGGGCAATATAGCAAAACATTATATTAAGAATAATTAGATATCTTATTCGTTATATCGTACAATAATTAAACAAATAACATTATACTAGTCACTAGTCTATTTCATGCAGTACGAATTTGGCATTAGCCTTGTTCCTTGGCATTGGAATTTTGTAGTGAAGGGAGCAATACTACGTAACGGTTTTATTGAACGGGGGGCGACAATTCTTTAGAGGTTGAGAAACACTGGTATATACACTACACCCTCAATGTTCATGGATGTCAGTGTTTAGGAATTTGTTCATTCATGACCAAAGATTAATGCACTGAAATTTCAACTTACAAGATGAAATTTCAACTTATGTACTACTGTAAACTAGGGTTGGTACCTGTGCAAACTGGATGCTCGAGCATGCACAATGCTAAAAGATCACTGCACTCAACAATTCATACGATGTCTGTCATATGTTATGTTGCTGTTTTGTTTATTATTTTTTTACTTAAATAAAATGACTTTTTGCAGCACTATATACCATTGTACAGTATATTTATTTAATAAATTTGTTCATTTTTTTGGAAAATTTTTTAAAACAGCAGTAATACATGAAATCTTCATTGATAAAAAAATTCATTTGAATATTTCAAATAAAATTTGAAAGCTAGCACACCTATCTTGAAAATGATGCACAACACAAAAAAGAAAGTCAATTACAAAGTTGTAGAGCACGACCAATTTTGTACAAAATGACACCCTGACTGTATGTATAGCATGAATAGAAAGAGTGAAATGCTAATATGCATAGTGAGCACAGACAGTAAAATGTTTATTTCTCATGTGTTCATTCACACGTCCACATTTGTTTCTCATGTGTTTATTTTGTGAGATCCTGGAGACCCCTCCTTTCTTTCCAATGGGAACGTTTAGTTTAATGAACAGTAATGACTGATTCTGTCTGTCTGTCTGTCTGTCTGTCTGTGTGTGGGGGGGGTGCCACACTTAAACAATGACACAAGAGAAATAAACCTTTGTCCAAGTTATTCACCATCTCATGACAAAATCTTATGGCAGCCCACTGGACTTGTGAATCACTTGATGAAATTCCCACACTTGATGGGAAACTGTCAGGGATATAAGAGGTTTGCACCAACGGTTTAGGGCAGACACACCTTGAAGAATGTGGACTCTCCCAAACTATTGAATGTCTAGCCAGTTCTCATCTCCTCTCCCCTCTGAAGTGGACACCGAATGTCTCCATCGAACTCTGTCTCCAGAGAAGTCTCACTAACCGACCCACTATAAGAGGTATTATAGATTGATGTAAACTCTCTCTCGGTCAACTTAGACTTAAGTAGCTAGATAGATCATATGTTGCACCCCTTTAGATGTATTGTCAAATTATAGTATCTATTGTTATTATCTGTAGACATGTTTTATTTTAGGTTATTAAGCATTTCGAATCACATAGTAGTATACAATCTTTGAATAAATTGGAACTAAAGAAGTTCAAAAGGTTTAAAAACCAGCTTGCAACGGATTTGCCTGAAGAGGAGCCCAGAAGAGGCGTCGAAAACGTTAGCACTAAAAAAAACATTTTTTGCTCCGGTTATTGGGTTTGAATTAAGAAGATTTAATTTTCAACCCGGTGTGTTAGGAAGTTAAATAAACATTTGTTGTTTGTTAACCTGGCAACCTGTCTTTACTGGAGAACAGGTGCGTATCAACTTACTCACAACTTCACCACTCACTCCTCCCTCTACCCAAAATTTAGACATCCATCTTCAGATAGCTAGAAATGCAAGCTGAGACACGATATTTCTTAATTGGTGTCAGAAAAATGAATCCGACTTAAGGTCATCCAATCTTAGCTAATAAAAGCCATCCAGTGACAATTGAGCGGGCCTAATTGTTCCAATGTCAACAAAGGGGGTTAAAGAGAGAAATTTGACTCCCTGACTTCTCACAATTTATAACATAAGTATTTCTCGCTTTCCTGTGTCTCTGTACTGCATTCATTACTGTTTGTCATATGCTATGCATCATTCACATATCAGTGTATAAAGACTTTGCTACACCCCTATATAAATTTAAATTAAATTATTTTGTCATTTTTTATATTTTAGAATAACAATCAAACATCTATATTTTAGAAACATACAGAAATTTTTAAATGTTAATTATAAATAATGTTATTAAATTCAAATGGATAGTTTACCTAAGCTTTGTATATTCAACATATTCAATCAAAAAATTAAATATTTATATTTCTACATATTTATTTTTCCAATTCTTACTTAATTGTATTGTAGAGAATTACACAAAAAATCAATTTTTCTTTCCTTTCTGACTTATGGAGGGTAGATAACTTCAAAATTCTAAAACATTACATCAATAATGAAATAAAAATTAAAGTTAAAAAAGGTAAAAGCAAACTCACTTTGTAGAGAGAAACACTTTATTACATTTATTTCTCTGCAAAGTGGGTTTGCTTTTAAGTAAGAATTGGATAAATAATCTGACTCCATTGTTTTAAATAGTTATTCTGAATATTCGTTTTTTTCTTGTAACACAAATTTTATGATAACATAACTGTTAAAAGAAGCAAATTTATGATTTTTATCATTTCTGAATAGTATAGTTAAAATTTCTTAACTGGTATTGTAATATGAATAATCTAAATATTTAATAAAGAACTTTGTTTTTATTATATTACATATTTCATTAAATATTGTCTGTCTGTTATGAGGCATGATCATAACAGATACTTCCATTTAACAGTTCATTCAAAATAAATTAAAAGGTATAAATTATAGTTAGTTAACAACAATTAAAAACTTCAGAAATATCAGAAATATAGGAAAGTTTATGAATTACACAATAATTAGCAATCAAATTACTGAAATACAATAGAACCATGGCAGCCAAACTACAGGTCTAGAAGAGCTGTATATAGCTTTATGCAATTTTTATATGTAGCTGTGTTCAATATGTAGCTGTATGCAATTTTTATGTGGTTCCTGTATAATTACGCAATATTATGTGTGTGTAAGTAGCATGTCTCAAGTTTATAAAAAAAATTGCACAACTACATGTAAGCCACAATAGGGTCTAGAAGAACTGCATGTGGCTCATGAACTGCAGATTGTCCATTACAGCAATAGAATTTGCTTAATATAATCACTTTGAGGCTTGCCTAAACTTATGATAATATTCACTTATCTCAGTAAGTATTATCTATGAGTAGTAAAAATTCTAGTTTTATTAACTCTGGTATTAAAAGCAAATATTAAAATATAACTTTTATAATTTAAAAATTAATTAATTATAATTATTATTCATTAAGTATTATGTACCTGCTACCACCTTTCACAACAACTAGCATATAACTGAAGAAATTTAAACTACTGTACTGAAAATAATAATTAGAGTATACAGTAGAGCAGTGTTTCTCAACCTCTAACGAACCGTCGCCTCCTTCAACATAATGTCACCCCTTTCACTACAAAATTCCAATGCCAAGGGACAAGGCTAATGCCAAATTTGTACTGCATTGTATAGACTAGTGACTAGTATAATGTTATTTGTTTAATTATTGTACGATATAACAAATAAAATATCTAATTATTCTTAATATAATGTTTTACTATATCGCCCAGAAAATTGTTTTTCACCCCCAAAATATAAATTGTTACTAATTGCCCTCTGAACATAGAAAAACGCCCACATGGGGGTGATATCACCCCTATTGAGAAACACTGCAGTAGAGCATTGATTATCTGAAACAATTCAGGACTGGGATAGTTCGGATAACTGATCATGTATGAAAAAATATATTAACCTACCCCATGTTGAAATTTTTCTCTGTTGCATATTGCTTCACATTGAATTTTTGTCAACGTTAAGCCTAATGAAAAATTTTTTTAAATAATAATCGTGGCTATTGTATCGTTAAAAATTTTTTCTTTATTTTGCACAAACAAAATAAATATATTGAAAAATATAAAAACAAAAAAAATTATATTTCAGAAATTAATCTAGTATGAAAAATGTTCCGATTCAGCACGACACACATCCCGACAACACGATCTTCAGAAACATGAAACAAGCAAAACTCTTTATTTTTCTTGGGTTTATCTGGAGATGTCAGCCGTTTGGACTATATTCTCTGATGAGCTGAAGCAAAACACACCACTCATGATGGAGAAAAAAGCCTTGTTCAAATACTAGCGCATCCTTAAGTACCTTCTCGACATGTGTCGTGCTGAATTGAAATATTTTTGATATTAGATTAACTTCCAAAATATAATTTATTGTTTTTATATTTTTCAATATATTTTTTTATGTTTGTGCAAAATAAAGAAATAATTTTAAAGGATACAATATGGTCACACCAGTGCTGCCAGTTAAAACACACACACCAACAAAAATAATATTGGAGTAGCCCAAGACATAGCCAAATATTGCAGCCCAACAACACTAGTGAAAATTTGAATTTGCTGACTGAATCACTTTCAGTTAACAGATGTTTCGGTTGATCGCTATTCAGATAATTAATGCTCTACTGCAGTGGTTCCCAATTAGTTTTTCCTGCGTACCACTTCAAGAAAGAGCTCAAACTTGCATACCCCATATAGCAGAAATTCATATTAATCCATACTAATATTATAAATTCAAAGGTAATTCTGTCTGTCTGTTGCCTTTTCACGTCTAAACCACTAAACAGGTTTTAATAAAATTTGGCACAAAGATAGGCTACATTTTACTGCGAGAAAATATCTTACTCCCATGAGAAAATTCAATATAATGCAGGTGAAGCTGTGGGTAGATAGCTAGTGATAAATAGAATAAGTTTTTTTTACTTTTATTACCTTTAAAATACAATTCTAATAATAATGAAAATAACATAAGGTTATTTAATTAATTTTAATATGACAAATGCGCATGATTTTCCTTGCACAACTTTGTAAAATCTGGTTGCTTTTTGGTCAGCTTCAGTCTCAAGTCATCTTCAAGTTGAAGTTGATGACGAGTGTTTAGTTTTCATGCTCATCATGACCGAAAATCCGCTCTCGTAGAAGTATGTTGTGCAAAATGGTAGTAAATATTTTATTGCTGCTTCGCTGACACAATAATAATGATAATTGTACAATTTTTTTTCTTGTGTAAGAATTTTATTTAGGTATTGTCACAAAGTGCATTTTTTTTAAATGAAATTTTAAGAATATTTTTAGTTATAAATAAACGAATTTGTGCATTCGACATCATGTTGTAAATTGTAAAATTTTTGATAGTCCACCCATTATTTTTTTTATTGTTTCATCTCATGCATTTAAATTTTAAATCGACTGATTTTAGATTGCAGCGCATACCCATTCATGCAGTTTCGCGTACCCCCAGGGGTATGCATACCACTAATTGAGAACCATTGCTCTACTGTACGTAATAGTCTAAATTATTGATCAAGACTGGTAACGTGCAATTGTTATCATCCATATATTGAGGGTGATAATATGAAGAGAAAGCTTTAAACTTTTTTTTTACTAAAACATGACGACAACAATAACTGAACTCTAAATACAATAAGCAAAGTGCACTGTATAACAAAATCAAATGTTGAATAATAGATTTAAACTGGTAGCCTTTGAGTAAAATACAAATACAGTGGAACCTCGGTATATGACCTTAATCCGTTCCCGATGTTTGGACTTATACCGAATTGGACGTATACCAAACCAACCTTTCCCATAAGAAGTAATGTAAAAATGATTAATCCATTCTCATGTAAAAAAAAATGGCTGGCTTTAAACACCTCTCTTTCCCGGCTAGTTCCTGCTTGATTTTTCGTGAGATCAGCGTGTATCTTTTTAACTTTCTCGCAAATAATTGCTTCCGATACGCTGTCTCCAGCACTGTTTTTCAGTTATCCAAAGCAAAAGCAATTTCTCGACATGATCTAATGTCTTTGATCTCTGTTTAGAAATTGATTTAACCCCTTTCACAACATTAGCAGATTTAATAATGTCTTTATTTTTCGCGATTGTCCATATTGTCATTCTCGGAATACGATAAATAACAGTTAAAATCTCGAACACGCGTGCCACCTTCATATTTCTCAACAATCTCTTTTATCAGTCCCACTGTAATTCTAGTCATTTTTTTAGTTTTCTGTCATTTTTCATTTGCCTTTTTGCAATTCGTGATTAATAAAAATAATAAAATTTTACTTACGAATTAAAATCAGAAGAAATTAAACAAAGTTATAAACTGTTGCACCGTGAATGTCTAGTCTGATCTAGTACACCGATAGTGCTACTTGTTCACTGATGGCGCGTATAACTGAATTACAGTGGGTGATCGGTTAACGAACATTATCAGTTCCAAGACTTTGTTTGCTATCCGAACTGTTCGTTAACCCATTATCGATTTACCATAGGTTTTTATGGGAATTTGATTAATTTGTTCTGGAGACCCCCAAAATAAAAAATATATAATTTCTTACTACATTCATTTATATGTAATAATAAAAATAGTCTCGCATTTTTATTAGTCATGTTTTTTCCGTTTGTGGGGGTTAAAGAATCTGTCCAATGTCGATTGCTTTTCTCTCTTCTTCAGGATTTTTCAGAAGTAATTAATAGTATTGTAGAGATCCCTAAGCCCATTAACCTCAACCTGGTTTGGATGCCATTCTAAGACTGTTGTTCTGGCATCTTTCCACTTCTTCAAAAGATCTTTAATAGCAGATGTCGGCATTAATCCTCTTTTTCAGAAGAAAATATATCTCACCGAATTTCTTGGTGTTCTTCATTCAAGAGCTCTTGACGTTCTTCTGTCGTCAGATCAGTTTCCATTATGAGCTCTTCAATGCTCTTTATTTCTCAGATGTGATTTTTGTTACTCCTTTAGCTGCTTNATCTGTCCAATGTCGATTGCTTTTCTCTCTTCTTCAGGATTTTTCAGAAGTAATTAATAGTATTGTAGAGATCCCTAAGCCCATTAACCTCAACCTGGTTTGGATGCCATTCTAAGACTGTTGTTCTGGCATCTTTCCACTTCTTCAAAAGATCTTTAATAGCAGATGTCGGCATTAATCCTCTTTTTCAGAAGAAAATATATCTCACCGAATTTCTTGGTGTTCTTCATTCAAGAGCTCTTGACGTTCTTCTGTCGTCAGATCAGTTTCCATTATGAGCTCTTCAATGCTCTTTATTTCTCAGATGTGATTTTTGTTACTCCTTTAGCTGCTTGAGTCTTCTTGATTATACTGTATCTTTCTTAGATAAGATTGAACTGCGGCCTACTTAGACCTGTTCGAGCCATACTGCCCAGCAACATCAGACATCTTCTGCCCACTCTCTACCTTTGCTATTATACTCTCACCTTTCGAAAATAAAAACGACGCAAAACTTAACGAGAGCCCGCTCGACAGTCTCGCAAATACTTTAAAAAAATTGTTTCTGTCAGAAAAATAAAAGGCTGGAATTACAAGGGGGAGTTTCAAAGTTCAGAGGAATACTATCCGATCAATATATACCGGGTTGAGCGTCGATGTCGACGTCTCCCACGCACCGAAAAGTTCTGAATTGTTGCCCGAAGACAAGAGAAGACCAATCGGTATTCATTATTTTACGTTGTTTCTTCTGTTTGTTATGTAAGGTGTTCATTGTCTGAACATAAAAATCTTTCGCGAAAGTGTTCATTATCCAATTTGTTCGTTAACCGATCACCTACTGTATGTCGTATACCGAACAAAAGTCGTATACCGAGCAAAATTTGTTTCGTCCAAACAGGATGTATTCTAAAGCAGACGTATACCGAGGTACCACTGTATTTTGAATATTTATAAAAGAATATTGAACAACTGATTGGTTCGACTAGTCAAAGTATCAGAAAGTTCACTCAGAAACTCAGTCAAGACTTCTATATTATGAAATCTTGCATACAATTTTTTCTTTCTAATAAATTTTTATATGAATGTTGAATATATAATTTTTTTTAATATTCAATATGATACATTTTCTATTTAATAAATTCTCCAGAATTTCCACAGGCAACTTCATTATAGAGTTTGCTGTATATCCACATTAGCTATATCTTGTATAAGATGTGATTTATATCAATTTAATGTCATCATAAATTATCAAAATATCAGATTTATAATGAATAACACTGTAAAAAAGCAATATAGGGTATGGTAAATAATGGGAAATTCAAAATAAAAAATTTAAATGACAATACAATTGTAACAACCAAATCAATATAATGATTTGTTAGTTGCATGACCTCATGGCTTTAAAGAAACTATGTCAATTGTGTGTCTGAGGCACTACTGAACAGTTAAAAAGAAAATTTGAATGAGCAAGTAATAATGTTCATTCAAACTGTGAGGAAATATGGAATAATTATCTACAGTATCTACAACATTTAATTTATAATATGTATGCATTCAAATATTCTACATCAAATATTAATCAAATTCAATTTTCAAAGTTTATTGACTTCAGTTAACATTGGGAGAAACACAAAAACTAACAAGTAAGATTATTATTTGGTAAACCAAATAAGCTTTGACTCCTATGATCCTTAGCATTTGTGTTTCTCCTCTTGATCAAATTCATTAAAATTAATATTTTAGCTCAATTAATAAATTATTTACATAGATTTTTCATATCATTACATTATCTTATTAAAATAAATAGACTTACTTGTTTCTATTTCCATTTGAAAACAGAAAATAAGAATTATATTTACAAATAAATATCATACAACTGGTAATTGAAATAATAATAATTTTAACATTTTTCAAAATTATTTAATATATTTTCATTCATTAAGAACCAATAATAAGCAAAAACATTACTATAGTCTATTTACTGTAAGTTGGCACCTACTGTAAACAAACATTTTGTCAGTATCAATCAGCTAGGGATTTTCATCAGTCAATCACAATCAAAAGTGGCTAGACATGTGTTGACCGGTTAAGTCTCCTTCTCTGCATGTGTTAAAGTAGGTCAGAGTGGTCACAACAATTTAAAAATTAATAAAATAATACTTAGAAAAGTTATTATAGTCTACTGTAGCATCTTGATAATGATGGAAATAATTTAAACATAGCCTTTTAAATTATTTCCATCATTAAAATATAGTTTGTCAAAAATTAATATTAAATACTGTATTTATTATTGAGACTTACACAAAATATATTTATAATTGTGTAGTTGAACAAACTTCAGAATTTTTATCTACACAACTATTTTATTAAATAGATATGAAACAAAACAAAGCAAATTCTCTGACAATTCTTTAAAATCATTTGCAAACCTCTAAATGAAAACATTACAGTAATGTCTGAATTTATCTACATAATATTTATATAATAAAAAATTTTTTAAAATAATTATAGCATAAACTTACCTTATCAATCATCTGTATCAGAAGATAGTTGCTCAAAGTAATCATTTATATCACTTTTGTCACTATTTGTGTTTGACTGAATAATCAGTTTTTCTACGACAGTTTCTTAAATCTCACCAAGTTCCCACATTCATTGTTCTTCTTTCTCTATATATTTGATACATTTTCTCCATCATTCTTCACTTATTTGTTCAATAGCTTTATTCATTAAAATTCACACATCTGACAGTTTGAATGTTGTGTTGTGATGTATGATGTAACTTTTCATAACTGCCCATATCAATTCAATGGGATTTAAATTAAAATGATATGGAAGTAAACATAACACATCCACACTTTTTCTTTGGCCATTTCATCAATAATATATTTATCCTATTTAAGTTTTACTTTCTTAACAATATCTAAAAGTTCTACTTTCAACATTTTGTTATGACAAACCCTATATTTTGCAACCAAAAACTACGTCAGCTTTTTTCCAACTACAATTTGGAATCTTCTCAACTTTAGCTGAGTGATATGGAGCAATGTCCAAGACAACAGCAGCATTATTTTCTAATTTTAATAATTCAAACCACTTTTTGAAATTATTGCTATCCATTTCTTCACGGTAATGTTGTGTTGACTTTGATTCAAATTCATACAGACCACCATTAAGAAAATATTGCTACCTATATGAACAAGAACTATTCATTTTCCCTTGCCAGAAAGATTTTTCAATCCAGATAATCCAGACATAAAAGCTTTGCAATATGACATAATTGAACAATGAACAGTCTTTCCATATTTTATTCTTGGTATGTCCTGCATTAATCCATGTTTTGTCCAAATAGTAAATCTTATGGCCTAAGGAATTTTTAGTAGATATTGTCTTCGCCATAAAATGATATCGTCTCTTTCAATTAATCTATTATTTCTGTTTCAGTTTATATATTTAAAATTAAGTCATTTTAACAAACTGTATATCCTATATCAAGTAAAGTCTGGTAAATCTAGGCCATTATTAATAGCCTGTAATACTTTATCTACAGTAGGTAATTCATTTAACAGACAAAAATCATGTACTTTACACCTCTAATGGCACATTTTGTGAATTCATCACACTTGTCAACTAGTTGAGTATGCTTATGAGTTTTTGAAGGAGTTTTAGTCTATCATTAGTAGAATATTCTTTATGAATTCTGTGAATGTTCCTTTCTGATATGCCTGTTGACTTTGAATGATATAGTGAAAATGGTAGCAAACAGACTTTTGGATTCATTTCAGTTAAGAATTAAACAAATCTAACACTATTTGTTTATCTGAGTTCCTCAGTGGTTTTCCTTGTCAATGTTTAACTCTATTTACATTTAAGTTTTCTATTTTTGTAATTTGACAATACAAAAAGTGTGAAACAACACTAGTTATTGTAATGAATGAAAAATAAAACCAAAACATTATAATATGCATGATCTGAAAAAATTTATTTTTAATGATTCAGAATGTGCAAATATTCATTAAAATAACAATTTAACAAATATGAAATAATTACATTTATAACCATTGCTAAGTGACCAGTATTTCATTAATGATTTTATGATTAATGAAAACAAGGAACTATCTTCTATGGACGATCGAGATTAAATGCAGTTTCTAACTGATGGATATAGGTTTAAACCAATAAACAAAGGGAATGTGTCTTAGTTTGTTTACAGTAGGTGCCAACTTTCAATAAATAGACTATAGTGAAATAAATAGTTCAAATAATACTTTTAAATAAATTTGAAAATAAAATACAAATATGATTTCCTGGAATGTCTTCCTACATAAAATTTCTTTACTATATATTATTCTAAATAAAAGCTTAAAACATCTACAAATTGGAAATTTGCAATTGGATTCATAAGTTAATAGGAAGAGCTATTCACATCTATATCACTGAAATTCATTGATAATGTATGTTTGATAAAGCAACGAAGAAATAAAACAAGCTGAAAATCAGATTAACAAAGGATATCAGAGTCATAAAATAGAATTATGAAAATTTTGCAGTTGCAATACATTAAAATAAAGTTGGGCAGAATACTGTTGAAGACAAAATCAACCACATTTAGAAAATAAAAAATAAACACATGATAGAAAACACACAAATTATGAGAATTAAAAATAAATATCCACAAAGGATTTAATCTAGATCAACAATAGTATTAATTTTTTACACTCATGTACTTTATGGTCATGTCCCTAGACAGAAGAGAGAGAAGGCAAGGAGAGTAAAGAGAATACAGATAAAAGCTAAGACAACAGAGAAAAGAATTAGTAACAAAATAAATTAATCATATCAAATTAATATTAGAATTCAGCAGTAAAAGCATTATAAAAAATATAATGAATGATTTCAATAAAAAAATAATATATTCCCTCTTAGAAGTAGCAAGTACTTTGTTTTTATATAAAAGATATATTTTACATAAAATATTAGAATAACCCAAGCAATGCTAGGTCTCTAAAAAGCAAGTTTACTTTTAATATGATTTTCCATTGGTTAATTTCAACACACAAGAATAGTCTAAATAGTTTTATATTTTTGTAAAAATTTCCAATTATCATAAAAAGCAACTGTCTGAATAAATAGAGTGACCTTACAATGACCATTTCATACATGCAAAGCTTCAACAACTTCCAAACTTTCTTTGTAAGCTTCTATAAGAACAACATAGTGGCTTCATCAGATATGCACATTGTGTACGTTAAGAACAAATACTCCTCACCTAAGGCAAAATTCATCAAAGTGGAAATACATTCAGAAGGTTGATAGAAATTTCTATTCCTAACTTGCATTTCATCAAAAAACTTATTAAGTAAAACTACAATGAAATGAAACTCAAATCAACCTGTAGCATCTCTTAATTTTGATAACAAGAAACATATTAAAATAACTAATTTTTAATATAAATAACAATCAAAATCAATTAATATAAATAACATCTGTATAAGACATAAAACAAAACCAAATCTGCAATAAAATAGAAATTCATACAACAACTAATTTGATGAAAACAGTTAGAAATAGTAGTGATACAGATAATGTCATAAAAGACAGTTTGGATTAAATTAATTCCTTAATATTTCTCTGAATTTATTTAATTTTTCTGCTTTCAGGATGAAGCACAATATCATAGAAACATCAACTCATAAATATCAGTAAAATGAAAATTTTTACTTTTACAATTAATATTAGTACTTTTTGTTACCTTATTTATTATTTTCAATAAAGATTTATAAAATAATATTGATTTTATTCATCTTTGTTGAAGATAAATATATAATAGAGGACTTTCAAATTTTGTTTATTAAAATAATCATGCTTCATTGTTATTCATTTTTGAGAATTCTTAAAAAATCTCAAGATTATCAAAAAAATCTCATTGTTAAAATCCAAAAATAATTGCAATAAAAAGAATCCTCATAACTTGAAAACCAATAATTGTTCAGAATTCATAAATATTATGACTTAGATATTAAAATTGTTTTTAAAAAACTTTTTAAATAGTTCAGGTTTAATTCTTTCTTCTCAACTGCACTGTTCCAATGATACTACTGTTACCAAAGTATTATGTTTATTCAAGATATTAAAACAAAAATCACTATTATGCAATTTACTCCTGTCATATGAATGCACTGGATTTATTTACTCATATTAATAAATTGTGTTTTAAAATGATTTAATTAAATAATATATTATTATTTTAAATTACAAAAATGAATACAGTAGATCATCATTTATCTGAATCAATTGGGGACTGGGGTTGTTCGGATAACTTATTTTTCGGATAACCGATTACGCACGAAAAAATATATTAACCTATCCCGTGTTGAAATTTTTCTCCGTTGCGTGTCGCTTTGCGTTGAATTTTCGTCTATGTTAAGCCTAACATATACTTTTTAAAATAATAATCGTGGCTATTGTATCGTTAAAAATTATTTCTTTAGTTTGTACAAACAAAATAAATATATTGAAAAATATAAAAACAATAAAAAAATTATACTTCAGAAGTTAATTTAGTATCAAACACACAAAATATTTGAGTAGCCCAAGACATAGCCAAAGATTGCAGCGCCACAGCACTAGCAAAAATTTAAATTTGCCAACTGGAATTCTTTCGGATAACCGACTTTCGGATAAACAACGCTCTACTGTATACCATATGATGATATAAATCAGCCTATTAAATTATTTGATATGTAGGGAATAAAAATTAAAAAGAGTGTATAATGTTAATATAATGTGTGTCTTCCACAGTGTTTTGATGTCAAATAGTTTAATTGTAAACTATGTATTTTATTACCTTAAATTGTTTCCTTATAATATGTTTAGACTAAAAACAAATATAGCATATTCCACTCAATTGTGCAAATTGTTATTAAAGATTTAAATTGTAGAGAACTATGCTATCTATATTTCCTTCATTTGTTCTTCTAGGAAGCCCATGAAACAATACATGACTTGATACAACTTTTCTTCCAGAATTTTCTAAATTATTTAATTTAATTATAATTTTATAATTATTAAATCTAATAAGAGATGGAGTTTAATGCCTCCCTCTAGTGACAAACTATTTAGTAATCACAATATAAGAGCCTAATATAATCTAGTAGTTGTTGACTTATTATGTATGTACATTGAGTTTGTAGATGTTTATAATACAACTTTATTCACTTTCTTGTATTATTTGTATTATTTACAACTTTATTCTATGATACATATTTTCAGTGTTTTAGCACTCCTATTTGATAATAATTATATGTATTACTATTTAAAAAAAATAAAATGCATATCAGAAAATAAATATTGTTGCATCAAGTCATCTGTTGGTTCTTGGTCTTCCTACAACCAATAAAGATATGACATTAACATCCATTGTTACTGTTATCAGATTTAGCATGTAAGCTAATGATGATTAATTATCATTACAATCATAACAACATTGTAATCTTCAACTTATACAGTCAAATCCTTTATGCTGTTAGATTAACTTCATAAAAGAAAACATTCAACTATTTTATAAAACAAATATAACAGTATTACAGTTTAAGTAGTTTCTGATCAAAACAAAAAAAAATAATAAACTTGGTCAAGATTTTTGATTGTTTTATCATGGTTTTAGATTAAACAGATATAGAAAACAATTTTCTCACTGAATATTATATAGTTGACTTGACACACAATTGAATTCTAAATTATTATTTAAACAAGTAAAACGGCAAAACCGTATTTGGGACAAGACTATGTCTTGGAGACAGAATCACTTTGATGCTCAAAGCAGGTCTCATTCTCCTATCTTCTTTGATATCGCTGCTTTTGGGCACGATCATTCAAACTTCGCCAGTCACGACCACAAGATCATCCATGATACATCTTTGATGAAATTAACCTATCTAATTTCAAAATTTCTCTCCATTGAGTGTCGGCCCAAATTGAATTTTTGTTGATGTGTAATGAAAAGTTCCCGTTTTTGAAAAAAATAATCGTGGCTATTGTATCGTCCAAAATTATTTTTTTTATTTTGCACAAACAATATACAGTTTAACCCGATTATAATGTCATCAAATGTAATGACAACCCTAATATAATGTCAAATTTTATAGGTCCTATGATTTTACTATACTAGATAATGTTAAAAAAAAAAACACTTGTAACGACATAAAACCGTTTTAACCTCATATTTGAAGCACTCCCAAATTTACAAAATTAGATTACAAATTTTATTTAACATAGAAGAAACTACATGTTCAGTCCTAAGATCAGAGTTCACTTCTTAGAATGACTGTGGGTGGTACTCTCCCCTACCCTGACTTCGGTGGGGTGAGGTGGCTGTTTTGCCTGTTTGTAGAAGAGGGTCCCATTTTTTATTTTATTTTGACTCGATTCTCGGTCCCCCGACTACCTACCAATCTGAATTTTTTTATGCACAAATGATTTGGGCACCTAATACTCTGTGCCAAATATCAACTCTTGACATGTACTCCTTCATACCTCTATGCCGGTAAGAACATCGGGCAGTACGATTTTATAAACAAGACATAGTCTTGTCAATACAATATTAACAAGTTTTGACTATAAATTATAACATAAAACATATCTGATAAAAAATTATGATAAATGAATACAATAAATAATTTGTGTTTGAATTGAAAAAATTAATCGTGTTGTTAATATATATGTATATATCATATATTTTTTTTATACTAAATGTACATTGAGATAAAATAACCATTGCATTTATTTAATTACAAATATTTAATAAAATAGAGAAATAAATTTACCTTATGTTTAGTAGATAAAGTAGCAATATTGCTAAGTACAACAGACTGAATCTCTCTAAAATGAAAGTATTTCAAAAATTACATTTTATCTTTAAATTTTTGAGTAATTATAAACATCAGAAGGGTAGTTTTTACCTGTGACTGTGAATAAGACGAATGAGAGCTTTGGCAATAATATTTACTTCATTTTTTGGAGCCAAGTAACAATATAATTGAGCTACTGCCATTACAACCTATTAAAATTTAAATTTTACTAAGATATTTAAATATATTATCAACAACTTTTAAAATTATAATTAAAAAAAAACTAACTGCAGCATTACGACTCTGAAGTAAAGGTTTGCAATTTCGTAGTAGTAAGCGATGATCGGGATCCATAATATATTTATTTTCTTTTGGTTCTTTATTTTCTGATTCATCTGAATCATAAAATGGTTTATTTTCATCCTCTTCATCACCATCCTAAATAATTTTTATTTCATATTATTAAAATGCTTAACTGTTTTGACTTCCATTAAAATTCTAAAAAACATAGCTTTGGACTTTACCAAATTAAAACTTTATTTCATAATAAAAGTAATCAATTCTGTCAAAATTTTATCAAATAATTTTAATTATGGATACCTTTAAATATTTATTTGGATCTACAAACTGTGTGTGAGCATAACGGGTTAACACATTAATTATCACTACTTGGCCCCATTCTTCTACGTCTACAAGCATGTTACATAATTTCCTATAATTTTTGTGTATGAGATCAATTTTTTCGGGACAGACTTCTTCAAAAGCCATAACGGCACTTCCAACAACCAGCTGGAATAAAAATAAGAAAATAATGCCATAAATAAAAACTAGATATTTCACTTTATTATATTCTTTTCTTTAATCCATAATTTAGTTTGTAAAATTTACAAAATTAAAAATATTCCAAGACAATTTAAATACCTAAAAAATTTTTAGATAATATTAGAAATCAAATCATTGAAGTACTGGATTATCTTGTATTTTATTTTGGCTAATTTATAATTAATGATATCAAATAATTGGGACTAAAAGAAATATATAAAGATATAAAGATAGGCAGTTGGCTTGCCATCTTATACTAAATTTAATAATCATATTAATCTAGAGTCAAAGTTAATAATTTAGAGCAGAGCTTCTTAAAGTGTGGTTTGTGATCCCAAAGGGGGTTGTGTAACCAAATGTGAGGGTTATAAAAAATTGGACAATAGTAAAATTTTGTACCTTGTATTTATGCAAAGTGGCATTTTCAGCATAGCCAATTATAAAATCAAAATTTCTGTCAACTATGATAACCATCAAAAATGCCCTGCATTCCACAATATCAAATATTCAGCCAAAATTTAATTTATTTATGTAAAAATAAACAAGCACAGTCATCTTATTAATATGCAAATTTGTTTTTGTTTTCAATAAATGGAATGAATTTTAAAGAATTATTGTAGAATAAATTGTTTTATGATTTATTACTAATAAGTGGTTTTGTATACCTATTTTATATGCCTATGAGCAGCGGCGGCCTTATCCATTGCGAGGCTCTGGGCGGCAGATCTTTGCGAGGCCTTGTTTTTTGTGCAAAGTATGTGAATTGAAATAGTAGGCAATTATTAATATTAATATATACTGTACTGTAAATTAAATTTATTTTATTGTTATAACTAATAGCCAAGGATAAAATAAAAAGTTTTAAATATCAACTTTTTTCTACTTGGTTGTTGTGCGAGGCCCCTCCAAGAGCGAGGCCCCGGGCGATTGCCCTGCTCGCCACCCCCTAAGGCCGCCACTACCTATGAGGGAGGATTGCATAAAACTTTCTTGGGTAAAACAGGTTCATGAATGGAAAAAGTTTAAGCAGCTCTGATTTAGAATAATCTGGAAGAAAAGCTTGACCTGGAGCTCTAGATCACACTATAATTATTAAATTTAATACAAAGATGATAGCCTAACTGCCTACCTTCAGTCCACATGACTTGATATTTATTTACAAAAATTCTGCAATCTTTCAAAAGCTGGATGTAAATATAACAATATTTGTTAGTCATTAAAGTTTGTTAGCAGGACTTTTTTGGCTTTTTAGAAGTGTTTACTTGCTATTTATTTATTAGCCAAAATATGGTCCAAGATAATGCAGTATTCTAATGATTTGATTTATAATATGTTAATGCTTGGTTATTTATATGCAAATGTTAGAATATGTCTAATATTTAGTTTGTAAATAATGAACTTAAAATGCATATAATGTGAAATGTGTTTATGAATCTGCTGAAAATAAAGTATAAAGACACTTGATAACATATATATGTATCTTGGATATTGATGAAGCAGATAGTAATTAAAATGATTATTTATATACAGTACATCATGTATATTAATTAATTAAACTTCAATGAATAAATATAGCTTATTTTTCATAGGAAAGGATAATCTCTTACTGAAAATACTTTAAAACTATATAAAACAGGTCAGGAATTATTAAAATTAAAATGTTTGTAAGTGTAACTAATCATATTTAGGAACACTGAAAGCCAGTTCTTACTTAAGTGAATTTATGCTGGAAAATATATTTCTGACACACTGAAGTAGTTTTGATGATAACCAGCAGCAAGATACTGTATTTCAAAAAACTGGATACTTAATTATATAACACTCACCAAATAAACCATTCCCAGTTCATAACCAAACAGAAAAATTCTTTTTATGAACGTTTTCATCTATATGTAATAGACATCCTCAGGTATTGACGATATCGAACTAACGGCTAGTAGAATAGTTAAATAACTTTCAAAAACATTCTATGTAATTCGAATACGTTGCATTAAAATTGATAATATGTAAAATATTTAAAACATATCCAAATAAATAATCGATTTCACATAGATCATGACGTAAATATCCTCCATAATTTAAAATGATTTAAAATGATTAGATCCCAATGATTGAAATGCGCATCAAAGATATTTTAAATTACGGAGAATATTTACGTCATGATCTACATGAAATCAATTATTTATTCAGATATGTTTTAAATATTTTACATATTTTCAATTTTAACGCAATGTATTCGAATTACGTAGTTAAACGTAACTTTCAAAAACATTCTATTCTACTAGCCGTTAGTTCGATATCATCAATACCTGAGAATGTCTATTACATATAGATGAAAACGTTCGTAGAAAGAATTTTTCTGTTTGGTTATGAACTGGGAATGGTTTACTTGGTGAGTGTTATATAATTAAGTAACCAGCAGCAAGAAGAATGTGGTAGTAAAATCCATAAATATAATTTGACAAAAAATAATCACTGTATAGAAAACACAAATTTAATATGCTCATATATAAATGTTTATCATGCAACATTTATAGAACTACCGAAATAAATTTCATTTCCAGATTCATCTAAACCAGTAATTTCCAAAGTGGATGCTACCACTTCCTTGAGGGTGGAAGGAGACTCAAGGGGACACTGGAAGGCAAGGAGTGGTAGTGGTGATGGTGGAAGACAAGGGAAACAAAAATTCATTTTGAAATAATGTATACATACAAGAAATACATGGACTAAAAGGGGCAGTAGTCCAAAAAATTTGAAAACTGGTGATCAAAGCTTTAAAATAAACTGTTTGTATGTTTCATTACTGAGAAGTTACTAAATATTTTTTCAATCCTTGTATGTAAGAAAACCAAAATATAGATAGATAATCAAATAGAAGAAGAGTTTTTGCTCTGGCTATATCAAGAGCTTACAAAGAATATTAATTTAAAAAATTTTGGAAACTTAAAAATCTGCTTTATTTAAGTTAGTGAGTTCCGGTTCAGTAACTTACATCAAATACCAGTTTCTCGAGTTTTTTTGAGCAACCGAGCCTATTGTCACAGATTTCCCAAAAGTACTTGAGAAACTGATACTTAAAGTTAGTAAATGCCAATAAAATAAATTTTAAGTTTGTTAATTTAAGAAATTGAAGTTTCATTCATTATTTATAAAAAATTTTGTTTTGACAAAATTAAAAATATATTCCTATTCTTTAAAGAACACTGGTATATAATATAATTTAAAACATAAATCAACCTTTACCATTTGAAAAAATTGTGATATTTTATGTTAATTATGAAATTGTTTTATACAATTGCTATGTTTAAGTTAATTCAATTAATATTTCATACCATTCTTTACAGTTTAATTTAAAATTAATTGTCAGAATTTCTAATTGTTTTCCTTTTTTGTCTGTGAACAAGTATTTTTAAAGTTACTATTCAACAAATATTTTATGTTCTGATAATAAATAATTTTGAATCTAAACTGATTGAAGTAAATGGACTGTTTTAAGTTCTTTATAAAGTTATTTCTTTCATTATTATAGTTTATTTGACTAATTTTTCAATGAAAACTTTAGATTTCATTTTCTCAACATTGCTGGATTGCAAGGTTGGTTAAGGGCATCAGCCTATCACTCTGGAAAACTAATATCAAATCATATGTGAGCAAATCCCCAGGAATTTTTCATTAGTGATCTGTCCTGAATATGTCAGGCTTCATACTTCACCAACCAACTACTGTGTGTGGCCCTGGTCAAATTCACAAAGACTATGGAAAAAAGGCTCTCTTACTATCCATAGGGCAGTGTGTTAAAAATGATTAAAAAAATAAATAATTAAGTAACATTGCACTGTCTTAATATAATAATAATAATAATAATAATAATAACAGCAGTTTTATATTTATTTCTATTAAATTATATAGATAAAAGTATTGAATAATTTATAGAAAATTAAGTTTTCTGATAATAAGAGTTAGTAGATGACACTTAGTCTTAAGTGTATAGTTTTTCAGTAATATGGTATTTAATACGAAACATTGGAACTTTTACTTCTCTTCAATGTTGTAAATATTTAACTAAATACTGCAGTGTATTCTTGCCAATTTAAACTAATTATTGTGCAGAGTAGTTTAGATTTGTGAAATATTCAAATTAGCAAGTTACACATAGAAGAAAAGAAAGTCAAAAACAAGTATAGACAATTCATAAAGACAACTTTAATTTTCATTAATCCATCATACATTTAATAAACTAACAAATGTTTATGACCTAACACCAGGTCTAAACTATGACAAAAAGATTGTACATTCTATTTTAGAATGTACAGGCATTCCATAACATATTTTAGAACATACTGTATAATCTTACTGTACATATGTTACCATTTAGACTCATGATGGCCTATAAATTAGGCCAAAAACATTTGTCAGTTCATTAAATTTATGTTGGATTAATGAAAATTAAGACTGTCTTTATGAATTGATCTAGTTCCAGTTTTTTGAGAAGTTTCTTACAATTATAGACAATTACATACATATTTAATTAAAACTTTTTACTGTATTTTATACACATGCTAATGTTAAAATACATAGTATATATGTTACAAATTTGTTATATTTTTAAAAAATAATCTGTTATTTTTTTCAGGTTTTGACTGGAATACTCAACTATAAATTGTCGAAAGTTAGTTGGGATTAAGTGGAGTATGGATCAATGAGAATGCATTGCATGTTAAATGTTTAAAATACCCATATTATTAATATAATAACAACAAATGCATAAAAACGTGATTGAGTAAAAAAACATATGATAACTTGAGAAAAATAGGTGATGATACTTCATTTCTCTCAAATTACTTTATTCAGGTTGCTGAAGAATTGAAAAAAAAAAAATCTGTTTTTATGAAAGGTTATGCTTAAAGAAATAAATAAAAAAGATCAATTCAAAATGATCATGTTTCCTGAATGAAATCATTTGGGAAAATTATTTTTTTTGATTGAAATTTACTAAATGAATGCTAATATTTGCATGTTAAAATAAACTGAATGATTGTGGACACCGACCTTTAACAGCCATTATCTATGCACGAAATGTACATGCTCTTCGTAACGACTTTCATCAGGCATACGTTCGATTTAATTTGAATATTCACATTCTAATTTTGTGTTCCATTAGTTATTTGGTGTATCTCACCTGAAGAAGAACTATTCAACAGTTTGAAAATGTTAGTGATAAACTTTATTATTCACAGAATGCACCAGTAACAGATTCCAGACAAGGTGTTCAGTTACATCCCCAGTGTTGAAGTGTTGTTTATGTTGATGTTTAAACTGAATAATGCAATTGTTGTTGTTAACCTATATTATAGTGTTACTTCAACAAAATTTGTAAATTTTAAAATAATATTCAATTATGTAGAAATCTCATTATCCATTTTATTCAGCAATATCTTTGATAAATGCATAATAGGATAACTGATAAATGCATTCAAAACATTACTTTGTTAAATTGAAAACATTATCACTCAATTATGAAATATTAAAAATTAAGAACTTCAATTGAATAATCATATTAAAATCATTAAAAATTCAATTAAATGTATTTATTTAAAACTGAATAATATAAAATATATTATATTTTAATTACTTACAGTTGTCTTATCAGATAACAATTTTTCAATTACTTCTATTAATTGATCTCTTTGTTCAGGATCCAAGCTAAAAATTGTCAAAAAAATTAAAATTTTTTTTATTTTTATAATATTTAATAACCAAACATATCTTGTGATTTTGTAATTTAACTTTTTTCAAATATACCTGTATAGCTTTGGAATAGCGTGAGCTGCAGTCTTACGTACATAAGGAGACATATCATTTACTGCATCTTTTATTGCAAGCATCATTATTGGTACAATAACAGGAACTCTAATGCTGGATAATACTCTTAGTGCACTTGCTCTTATCAATTGATTGGGGTCCTGTAAATTATTGGGGAATAATTTAACAAACCTCTAAACAAATAATAATTTCTTTCATTCGTAACAAAATAAACATCAACCCAATTCAATTGGTAATGCCAAACAAACTGCCAGATTATAAATTGGCTTTAACAAAGCTAATTTATTACTTAGATATAAAGAAATTTGGATATAGGTAGGTGGTTAAGCTGTCAACTAATTATAAATTTAATAATTAGATACAAGTTTAATTTTTAATGTAACTAGAATATTTTGGAAGAAAGAGTTGTCCAAAATGGAACTCCAACCCACAACTTCTCCTTAACATGCAGATATATTGTCTGTTACAGTATTCAGACCCCTTCCAATCTTTCCTTCCAGAGCTATTAATTGCTTAATAGCTCTGGAATTCCACTACTAATAGGTATTATTCTTATTACTAATGAATGCAAATTCTCTGAATAAAGTAGTTCTATTGTTAATTTGAATATTTAGAACTCGATGTAGAATAATTTGACAAATATCAATTTCATAAATACTAAATATTGCTCTTAAAATGTGAAATAAATTTTACTTTTTAAATAACAAAATATGAAAATAACTGCAAAATTATAAGATTACTAACCTTTAATGCTCTTTGGAATGTGCTAATCGATAAAAGAGCAAGATCTTGCTGCTCTTCAGCATAGCGAACTAAATACACATAAACCAATTTTTTAACCTGTGTAAGTACAAAATAAAATTTATAATTTTAATTATGAAATATCTTAAATTAATATCTTAAACCTTCAATTTAATAAACTTTTACCTCAATATTCTTAGAAACAACATTTTTCACTACGGCAGGAAATAATTCAGAAGCATCTTTACCTTTGGCAATCATCTGAAATGCATGAAATATTTCATTTTTTGTTCACAATTTATTCACCATGAATTAAAGTTATAAATAAAAATAAATCAAATTCAAAAAAGTTAATTTCATTTTGTCATGGTGTCAACAATCAAGAAGAGACCATGGAAACATAAAATATGTGGCATAATGTCATATTACAAAAGCAGGCAAGAGCCTCAAAATAAAGATTGATTCTACCATGGCCCTCTTCAGATTTCATTATTTGATCTCAAAGGTGTGAAAAAGAATAAAAAACAAAGACACTTTTCCTTTATTTTAGTGTTTCTTCTACATTTGCAAGAATTAACTGTAATTATCATCCTATAATTTCATTCTTAGTACCATCAAATTATATTATTTTTAAATTTAAAATGATGCAACATAAAAACACTAAAGTTGCATTTTAATTTCAATACTTGTATGTCCATTTAAATTCAAGAATGATTTTGCCATTGCCAACTGCTGCAGAATTAGATCATAAATTCTTAAAAACAATTTCATTGAATAAAAATTCTCAAATTAACTTACTTAAAACACAGTTTTGACAAAAATATATTAAATTATAACAATCTCTACTATAAAAACTAGTTATACTTAATAAAAACTCACTCAGATACCAATACCAGCTTAAAACTTCAAACGGTTTATTACATATGAATGTTTTCATTTAAAATGGACATCCTCTGTTTTAAATTAATGGTAAGTTAGAAGGAATGCAAATTACTAAAGCAGGTAAGTCATCAAGGAATGTAAACTGAAGAACAGAACAAATTCAAACAAAAAAAAGCATTCAGACAATAAAGACTCGCATGTGTGTAGTAATACAATCCCAAACTCAGTGTAAAAATGTAAAATTACAATATCTTTTGACAAAGACAAGGTGTAATTATTACAATTATATAGAGATCAAAAGTGAGTATTACAGGAGCTGAAACCATGCCATTTGCACTGTTGAGAGGGAATCAGATTTTGTAAAGTTCTAGTTCCCAATTGCTTTGTATACTTCAAAACCCTTCTGCAGTGCACATGGAGTTTGATTACACATGAGTGATATATTAGATGATGTATCTCTCAGCTCTGAAGTATTTACAGGATTTGGAAATATAGAAGGCCACTGAGAACCAGAAGGCAGTTAACTTTAAAAACTCTGATTTCCTCTCAGTAGCATGGCAGGCATGGCTTGAGTTCCTGTAGTACTCACTTTCAATCTATTTATTGTTGTTATAATACACCTCACCTTTTTAAAAGATATTGTAACTTTACATTTTTACCACAGAGTTTGAGACTGTACTATTGCACATGTGCAAGCTTCCACTTCATGGAAGCTTTTTATTTTCTGAATTTGTTCTATTTTTCAAATTTTTAGTTCCATTCTGCATTTTGCATTCCTTGTAACTTACCTGATTATGGCCACTTTAAATGGACAAAAACATTTGTATTAGTAAACTTGTTGATGTTTTAAGCTGGTATTGGTGTCTTAGGGAATTTTTACTGAAATTATATTTGTCATTAGCAAAAACATTTTTTATTTGATCTTAACATCAAACAGAACTTATACATCATATACAATAATCCTTTATTCAATACAGTTTAGTTAAAAAACTATAATTTAGTGATGTAACAAATATTTGGTTACTATTCGGTATTCAGACTATTTTTCACTATTCAGCCGAATACCGAATATTTAAATTACTATTCGGCTGAATACCGAATACCTAAAAAACAGGAGTAAGAAATAACAAAAACACAGTAAATTAATCATTTTGGTATTTAGATTTAATGTTATCGGGTTAATCTTGTTTGTTTATATTTATTTATAACTTATAACATGCACAAAATAAAAAAGAAAATAATATTAGTCACATGTATTCACAATTTATAATTACAAAGATCAGCACACGTACACACCTATTCATTCAAGAATAGTCACACATCCGAGAGTCTGTCCCTGCCTATCCTTCTTTTTAAGCCCTCGTCTTTTCTCTTCCCTTTCTTTTTCCTCTACCGCTCTAGTCCACATATGCCTATGCATAATACCCCGCTCACGATTCTTTCGATTCGTCACTTTTCCGTCCTAGAGTTCCCATTTTACAATTACGTGACTCATAGCCTGGTGATAATGGAGAAAAGAGACACATAGGACGTCGGAATAAGTCACAGTTATGATTTCACAGATTCCAGACATCATGGTAGCCCAAACAGTACTGGGCTTTCGCCCATGCACGCTAAGTGACTTTCATTTCAAGCATTTAGCTTTCTGAAGTCTATAAAAACAATTGTTTGGCATTGACAGCCGCAAATTTCGCACCAATAAGCTGCCTCAACTTGTTCGATTATGTTATCAACTGAATTTCATATTTATTTTCACATTTTTACTTCATGGTCCTTCTCTGTTCTTTTTCCGTTATTTACACATGTAGGTCATTTCATTGTTATCCACATTTGATATCATCATTTATCACATACTGCCATGATGCTCTTGTATGTCCGCTACAACTGCCAAGAATTAATGCGATTGGCAAAGCGTAGTGACAGAGGGCCAATAGAGAGCGGGATCCTTGCCATAATGCGGTTTGCGCGTCAATTTTCGTAGTGCGTTAATCAAGCTGAATAGTTTGGCCAAATATTTGGCTATTCGGCCACACTCCTGGCCGAATATACTATTTGTTGCAACACTACTATAATTCAAAAATATATATCCTCAAAAAAATCAACACATTAAAAATAGTAGGAAAACACTCACTTGCTACCACACTATATCCATTTAATTTCTACACTCTCAGACATTCATACATTATTAAGGGTATGTTCGTAAAGTCAAATGAGTTAAACGTGTTAGTAACAAATCGTTCGAAAAGTAGTAGTCTCACTTAGTGTGCATGCTCTGCAATGACGACGTTTTGAATGAAACTCTAACGACATTCACGAAGGAGAGAGTTAGTTTACTTTGTTAAGAAAATGGCACCTGATGATATCGATGTTTCTAAAGCTACTCGAGTGTTTAAATTAATTAAATTGTGAATTAAAAGGTAAAATGATTGAAATAACTGTCCACTCAAAGCAATCTAAGAAAAATATTTCGGATAAGGCTGCACTAGCAACATTCATATCTTCAATTTTAGAAACATTTATTTAGTTATAGACAAATCGTTTGAAAAGTCCAACAAAATAAGAATAACGATGACGTCATTCTTGTTTAACTCATTAGATTTTATAAATGTACCCTAATTCACAAGCCTCTGTATCCTTATTGTATAGATTAGTATGTAAAATGTCTACAAAGGACTTATTTTATTAACAGTTTATAATAGAATATAAATTAATACATCGTTTATTACTTTAAAAATACAAAATACATCTGAACATTTTTTAACTCACATAAATATCTTAAAGGATTCTGAAATAAACTTTCTAAAAATTATTCCAAAATATTTGAATAATTTTCAGAATATTTAGTTTAGAACTTGAGAATGGACATATGAATTTTAATACATTTGAGAGTACAGTGAAACTTCCATTAATGGACATTTTACAATCCCCAGACCCTTCAAATAAGACATCCATTATATTTACCTCTAAATAGCAGACAAATTTCTGTCTTGTTGGTGTCCACTATTCAGAGGTTAAACTGTATTTATTTTCATTTATTCTTAAGCCTTTGTGTCCTTATTATACAATTTTATTATTTAAATGTCTACAAGGACAGATCGTATTACAGGACTTATTATACTGGTGTCCAAGTCCTGCAAAATGAGGAAACTGTAGTATCCAGAGGAAAAAGGAAAAATCTTTATTGTTTGCCTGATTTTTCCTTTTTTTCTCTGGATACATTTCCTCATTTTACAGGACTTGGACACCAGTATAATAAGTCCTGTAATACGATCTGTCCTTGTAGACATTTAAATAATAAAATTGTATTTATTTTCAATTCACATTCATAAATATAAACAAATGTAACTAATAAAAAAGTTATATTTAATACTTACACCAATAATTCTTTTCATTGCTTCTAATTTTAACCCATCTTTATTGCTATCTAACATATTTTTTAGATCTTCATGCCTGAAAAAATAATTTTATATCTATTTTAAAAACACTTCTGACAATAATTATTATAAAATGATAAGAGAGTAACGAAATTTATTATTATTTTAAATTATTCTATTTTGGAGGACTGAACTGTTCTCCCATGCTTATTATGGGTTCAGTTAGAGCTGCAATGGAAGTAACTAAGTAATGAGGAATGAGACCTGACACCCACCATATGAAAATTCCTGAGCCCACAAGACTTTAATCTGAAGACCTGCTGCTTTTATCCAACCATTAACAATTATTGGTTAATATTTTACTGTTAAGTCATGTAAAGATACATGCACACACATTCAAACTTCAATGTAGCATCTCCCAAATGTGAAAAGATCTTCCTCATAAATATAAAATAGTACTCTTGGTATCTCTAAATTATTAAATATTTCATTTTGCATTACAAACAATGTTATCATTATCAAAATCATGACATTAAACTATTAAATTTAAATGTGTGTGTAATTATTACATATAGTTTTTGTTTGAAATTTTTCATTTTAGTAAAATGCTTCATTTAATGCCAATTTGAAAAGTGAACAAATATAAACACTAAACCAAAATCTGATTTTATATCATTTTCATATAATAGCATATAATCAATATTTTCTTGAAGTATAGAGTATAATATCAAACTTGATGTAATTCATAAAATAACTGCTTCAGTAGATCACTCACTCAAGTGTGCATACAACCTTGTACAGCATTTTTGCTGTTGTTTAAGTTATATATAACTGATTGAGTAAAATTGATATCTAACAAAGCTGAAGTTCTGTATCTAATTTTTATTTTTAAAAGAATCAAAGCTGAAAGAGAGTTTCAATCACACAAAGCACACCATTGAGCAATTTTCCAGCAATGTTTCTTCTTGACAAACATTTTCAGCTCCATTAATAAGCCTGCCTCAGATCTACCAAAGATTCCTATCTTCAGTGTTCTAAATTGGAATGTCAGCTTGTGAAATAATATGATTTCTATAGATTTTACATTTTGAAAATAATATAACCACCAGATTTTTCTGAGTCTGTATTTTCTAACTTCCTAAGTATGCAATGTTTCATGTTGTGATTCAATGTTTTTAACAGTATGTTTCATATGCTATAATATATTGTGGGCCCTATGTTGACAATTCTTATTCAGGTTAACATAAAACAATCTCTAGACCACAGATAAGGCTATTTTTAGTTAATGCTTTAGTTTGGCTTATCCTTTTAAAAAACTTTATATACCATTGAAACTATGAATTTTTGACAGATCTGACATGCTTATCAAAGGACCAAAAATATTTGTCAATAAGAAAAATGAGAAATGACACATTGTCAAAAAATTCAGCAATGAGTTGCTTAACTTTCCTGAAAACATTTAAAACTGCATGTGTAGCACCATCTGTTCTGATATTTAAAAAAAAACTTTTTATATATGTTGTAACATGTAA